GGGGGGGGGGGGGGGTGGGGACAGGGGGTGGGTGTTTGGAACGAATTAGGGCATTTACATGGAAAACGCGCCTCTACTTACAAAATGTTCTAGCAAAGAAATTTCTTCCAGAACCAGATTAATTTCGTAAGTAGCGGCACCACTGTATTGGTTAGCATCTTAGACACTGAGGCTAATGTGAGATCGTGCTAAACTGACAACGACGTTCCAAAATGTCAGGGCGAGATCAGCTGCCGTGATGATCGCGTTGCCATCCTTACCAGGGATTTGCTCTCGTCCTCGTCCTTGTAATAGAAGAGTTGGTCCCCTCGCAGAACAAACCAGCGGCTGTGCCACGTCTTGACGAAACCACCTTGCTTTCGGAGCCAACCGCACCTGATGGCACCCTGCCTCCCCTGGAAGGGCTCCACGCCAGTTTGCGATCCGCCCTGCTGGGGACCGCCGTGGGACTGCTCGTCCATCACGGCGACTGAAACCTGCCAAGAGTCCAAAACAAATATATGACATAACCACATGCGCATCGGCTGGGGATTCATGAAACATCCCACGCGTGCGTATCCAGATGAGCTTCAAATTGAATAAAAGTCAAAGTTCAGAATCTCCCACGCTCATTGCCCCATCAACACATTGTTGCCCGGTTTCAAGCACGGCCTTTGCTGCGTGACTCCTGCTTCACGTCTGCTGACATCAGCATTAAAGCTTCCGTGACTCTGGCTGAGCTGGGCTTGGTGAGCGTCCAAACAAGCCGCAGGTCCAGATGATGACCAGATGCGGCAGCCCAACAGTGATTCCAAATCGCAGTCCACCAAGTGAAGAAAATAAAAATGAATAAAATAATAATAAAAGTGTGGTAAGCGTTGCTGGGATGATTGCCGAAATCTAAGTCAGACCTCTTTTTTTCCCCACCTCATGAACGCAGGTAGCATCCCACATATGGAGTCAATGAAATGCCCCGCCCATAAACTTTTCGCATTGTTATTGTCCAATGAAAAGCCTGTATCACCTAAATTGTTCGTTTTTAGCTGAAATGTACCAAAATGACGTGTCTTCATGTTTCAGATTATTAAATAAAGTGTTTTTCCCTTGGTTTCAGGTAATTAAAAAAAAAAATGGACATTTTTGAAAATGCACACGAATTGTCCCCAAATATTAAATCTCCGGCCTTTGGCTTTTTTTCTTTTTTGGCAGTGTGCATACATACTCAGGATTTGTATCTGGTCCAAGGTATGAAATTAAATTCCAAGGACTGTCGTAAAATGGCAAATGAGGGTCGCAAATCTTTCCAAACCATCATGTCGGTTTCTTTCTGGTCTTGGATTCATCTGTCCAAATATGATGCAAGACTTCTGGCCTGTTGAATTATTTAACACAGTCACTGGATATTTTCTTCAGCAGCCAAGTGGGTACCAGCTTTCCCCTAGATAATAATGGCAATACGGTTATGTCGTAGCCATATGCTGATCATGATATAACATGTTGTATGGTATGATGATTGCATGCGCTACAAAGAATGAAGCGTAAAAGAAATAAGAGACACCGGGCTTGCAGTCCCTCTCTTGTACCCGTTGTAGATATTCCGTCTAACAACATACAGAAATTTGTTTCCAGAAGTGTTTGGAGCTGATTCAATAGTCTTTTCATTCTGGGAATAGTTATGCAAGGGGAAGATCCACGGACTCCCTTCTGGCAGATTGTTGTTGAAACCGCTCAAGGTTTTGTGTAAAGGCTACAACAATTAAAGCGAGGAATCTTTCGCGACCACAGGAAGTGGCCGTCGGGAGGGAAAGTTGTCTACCAAAAAAATTTTTTAAAAAAAGGCCTTTTCCAGGCTGTGGCGTTGAAGGTGCAATTTGAAAGGGGCTAATTTGGACTCGTTTTAGCCTCGTCCAGGGAGGACTTCCGTCGCGTCTCGTCCCGTGAGAGAAGACGGCTCAGAGTCATTTTGTGTGTGGCAGCGAGGCCTGAGTCTGATCTATACTCAGTTGTGGTGAGTAAAATGCAATGAGGTTCCAAAATGGCAATCGTGTGAGGAAGAAGAGGCGCACACAAGCTAACCGACACTGTCCAAAACAAGATAACATTGGTTGGTGCGGGCGGTGCTGCTTGTGTATTTGTGTACATTTTGCAGAAAACTGCATATTTCGCCAAATAGATTATGTACTGTATTTGGATTCTGTTCTTGTCAAATCAAATTTTTTTTCCTCATGAGATAAACAATTCTCCCCATAGCATGAGATTATCCGCGATTTGAGACTTCATCCGCATGAAATTGCATCATCATTAAAAAAATCACAACTTGATTCTCATATTGTATATTTTTTCATGTGACTTCATTCTCAATTTAAAAACAAAGACTATTCCTAACAAAAATTTTTTTTTTCCAAATTCTAACATTTTCCACATAAAATTCCAACTTTTTCCTCATATTAGGACTTGACTTTCAAAATATGACAACTTCATTCTTGTGAAACACCTTGTGAAAATTGTATTGGTGTCAAAATTGCCGGTATGAAAAAGTTCATCCAAACAACAACGCTCGCTGTGGCCTCATATTATTATTATTATTATTTTCACAGTACTGTATATACAGGACTTGTTGGCATATAATTTGGTGTTGATTCAAAGTAGAATAGTTTGGCTCCAGGTCAGTTAATTAACAGCAAAACTTGTACAAAAGACTTTGGCATGACATTGCTTGTCAGCGGTGTAAACTCCCCTTCAAAGATCCCTCCTCCCCCCTTATGAGTCTTGTGGGGGCCCCGTGACCCAAATGTGTTCAAGACGAATATAAACCCGGTTACCAAAGCTGCAATGCTTGAAGAACAGTTTGCTCCTGCGAGTGTGGAGAGGAGGCCAAGCTTCTTAATGGATGTGAAACAGGAACTGACTTCATGTGGAAGCGTCGCCGAAATAACCCCAGAACAGATTCTTCATCTTGGCCAGCAGATGCAGCACAATTAAAGTCTTGCGTGATTAAACATCCGATGGGGGAACCTATTCTGGATTTATCGCCTTGGTCCGAGTTCAGTCACGACCCACGCCGTGAGTCACTTCATGATTGCAAGCAGCGCGCGATGGGATGTGAGGACTCAGAAGGTTCAAGTCCTGTTAGCTCGTGTGATGAATCACATGTGGTCCCCCCTCAGATAGTCTACAACGCCGCCTTTTTGGCTGTGACGCAAGCATGACTCTCTCTTCCTTTTATTTTATGCCATGTGTCACTCTGGACATTTCTGGAAAGCAATCAGAGCACATTAATAAGCAGAACACCCTTAAAATATCTTTAAAATAAAGGCTCATGGTGAGAAAAGCAAAGAAAAAAAAAAAGCAAACTTTGTTCAGCGGACACTAAAAATTCTACACAACGAATCCAACATATCCAATCTCAGAATCAAAATGGCGCCGTGATGCCATTCGTAACACCTTACATCACTGGTGTCAAACTCAAGGTTCGGGGGCCAGATCTGGCCCGCCACATCATTTTATGTGGCCCATGAAAGCAGCTCAAACAACTTCCATGATCCTTTCTAAAATGTCAACCAAAATGTTAAATTCTCATTTGTAACAAATAAGAGATATATTCTAAGCATGTGCTTGTTGCCAAACCTCTCATGATAGCAACTTAAACAATAATTGAATCATCAGGTATTCTTGACTTCTTTATATGGTTTCAGTCATAACGGCCCTCCAAGGGAAACGGTAATTAAAACGTGGCCCGCGCCAAAAATGCACCAAAACGTGAAGCCTATGACTGCAGTAATCAACGTGACGCTGAAAAAAACAGGTAAGACAATCTAAAAAGTATGACAGCTATAGAGCAGATATGGATCAAAAATAGTTACTTGTTCAAAATGTTCCAACCTGCTTCCCACTTTGAGGCAGTTTCTGTGCCTTGGCCACTAAACGGCTATCACAGACCTGAGAACAGCCGGGTACGGCAGCTGACACGGGCAACCTGATCCCGCAGCTTTCCTGCAGTACGGCTTGTGAGCACTGCATATATATTCCGGGCACTGGGGGGGTTCATCACTTGGCATGTGCTTTCCTTTTGCATGAACATGCCAGGTGGAAAGAGGGACTGTTCGGCCTTTACAACCCTTGCATCGAACCGTGGAAATAAAAGCTACCCGGAAAAGTGGTGGGAATTTGTTAATTGCTGGGAAAGTTGCACCGAGCTTGTTTTACTGACTCAGAGTGGGACCACCCGGGTGAGCCGATTAAAAAAAAGTCAAGCATGACTTAATGAGATCCGATATGAAAGCGGAATCAAAACATGATGGTACAACAAACAAAAAAAGCAGTTTCATACACTGGTGCATTTGAATGCAAAAAGGAAAATCCCAAGTATTTCCCACTGGTACATAGTGTGGTCATTTACAAACATGCATTTAGCGACATGGGCAGCTTTTATACGATGCTTATGAAGACTATCCATTTCTTTTCTAGAGTGCTTGTCCTCATTCGGTCACAATTCCTGAGTGAGCTGAAGCCAACCCCAGATGACTTTGGGCGAGAAGCCGGTTACACCCGAGACAGGTCGCCAGCCAATCATAGGACACTATATATATATATATATATATATAAAATTTTCAAATTACATTTATTTTGGAAAAACGTAAAATGCATTTGCTGTCATTCAAAAATAAAGACACATTTGAAATAAGTATTTAAAAATAACTATTGGACCTGAGAGAACAGATGAGGGTGCTCTGCGAATTACTCTTGATAAAAATGACCAAAACATACCTTGTGATTTTTTTTTTTTAATAACGACAATAATATGACAACAAATACATTAAATCATTTAAACACACACACACAATGAGGAATACAAATAGATATATATTTTTTGGGGGGGCGGGCAAGGACACAAATGCAACAGATGACTATGAGGCATTTCAATTTGAAAAAAAATATTCGTAAAAAACAAACAAAACTATTCATCTACACGAGAGGGTTTGGTCCCCATGCCAGTTAACACATGAGATAGGTAACATCATGATGTGATGCAGTGCAGTCTGTCACCACTGCAAACTGCAACCACAAAAGCATACATACAGTTACCTCTCCCTCAATAAAAACCCAAAGCAGCCTAATAAAATGTCAACCTTTTTATTTACCCACGCAAAAAGGGGAACCACATAAAACCGCCGAACACCATTCACGCTTGAAACCGTTCCCACCAAAAACACAGCATGTCACTCACCCTTCAGATAATCAACCAGGTGTTGCTCTCCCAAATAAATCCAGTGTGGAATGACGGCCCGCGTCAACAACAAGACGGCGGCGGAGACGACGACGACGACGAGGAGGAGGAAGAAAAGGGAGATGACGTTCAAATTCACCGTCTCGCTTCCCCGGCTCACTTGGTGGAGAAATGTGTCCACAAGTTCAACTCTCACAACGTGTGCGCGCTGAAAGAATCTCTCTCTCCAAGAGGAGGAGGAGCCCACACTCACAAGTGCACGTAAACACCCGAGTACACGCGACTACGCCGCAGTCGGACACTTGCACGTCAATCATCGTGACGTCAGCATCCATAGGGAAATGTCGATTTTTCAAGGTGTCATATCATGTGCAGGTGCAGCTTTAGGGTGATTTAAGGTAGTCTTCTTTTTAATCTGTGCATCTTTTGTGGTAATTACGGTAGTCAATCGAGCATCGGCGTGCAGCTCTGCAAACGTTTATGAGGTAACTCCGTGGACACTTGGGTGCGAGCTCAGCTGAATACACAGCCAAGGGAGGAGAGCACGTCTTGTTGACTCGCGGGCTGTCGCCATAGAACCGAATGCAATGCAAACCATCCATATTGACAATCAATAAGACTGACACTTACTTGACAGCACCATATATATGTACAGACAGATAGATCATTTTAATTATTTTTGGAAAAAAACAATGCATTTGTTTACATTCAAAAATTAATGAATATATAAAAATTTAAAAATAACTATTGGACCTGGGATCACAGATGAGGGTGCTCTGTGAATTATGTCTGATGAAAATGACCAAAAACATATACCTTCCGGTCGTCACGGAGATAGCGCATGACATTAGATGAGTTGAATCTTCACAGATGGCGGATATGGGAATTGACACAGTCTCTGTGGTTCTTCTGTTCTCATGGCCCTTCAAGTGCAACGTTTGGACCCCCTCGTGACTTCTGTCGGGGGTTCTTCCTCTGTGGACGGGATTGGAATGCAGCAGACAGTATTTGTCACCTCCTCCAAGCGCATAAACATGAGGATTTGGACCCCAAAGTTGGCCAATTATACTAGCCTGAAAAAATAATCGCACATTAAATCGCAATCACGACACTGAAATATCAGTTGCATGGTGAACAGGGGTTGAGATAGCGGATTTTCAATCATGGTGTCATCGGTTAACACCCCCCACCACGCACACACACACACACCCCAGTGCCAGTGCACTGACTAATTCGCAAAACTTAATGCAGCTCTGCTTACCTTTTGGCTTTGACATGATTTCAGGGACATTGTATTCGTAGCCATGGGGCATGTCAATTTCTTTGCATTGTAGCCGTATTCTAGTGTTACAGACAGAGCCGTTGCCTGAAAGTGGTTCAGCCTTCTCGCCCCGCGCCTAGCTTGTTGGTCAGGAACTCCAGAGACCCAACTGTTTGTTTACGAGTCATTAAAATAAAATTTTCCATCATCTGTACTCTTTGCCGTTTGGGGAGTTTCAACCTAAAATCATGACCTTTAAGCATGCTTGATAAAGATGCTACATTTCCCAAATGTCCTGCTCTGTCACTATGAATGAAAACACTGTTCCATTTTTAGGCCAACAAGTGACTACTGGAGCAGTGTCATGACCGCGGCTGTCCTTCCTGTTTACATATTTGACAATAAAGAGTCTTCTTAATCTCTCAAGTGGTTTACGAGGCTTCATTTATTTGGAATGTGAAGTGCTCTTTAAATTTAGGGACAATCAGGTGAATAGGCTTACCTTGAATTTGTATTTATCATAGTTCTTCTTCCGGCTTTTGACTTTACATCCACTCCTATTCAATAATAAAAAATAAATCTCACAAATTTCAGTAGAATAGTCAAATTAAACAGGTTTTTAGGGGAATATTTCTTCTTGGGATTGCAGTGAAAAAGAGTCCACGAGTAACGATTTCTCTCAGTGCAACATTGTCTCCCTGTGGCGTCATCTATCATGACACCTTTAGGTTTTTCAGCATTTCAAAGAATATTCTCAAAAGGATTCGCCGATATCCTGCTGTCTGGCTATCGGAAGATTTGATTATGATTAATTGCATTTGCAGTTAGAATCTCGGACTAATTCAAATGAATTGTTCGTGTTTTTGATTATTAACACACGAAATAAATGAGAAAAACAGTTACCAAGAGGTGCAATGATCAACTGTGTCCAGAAGATGGCAGTGGTGTTAGATTTGATTATGATTAATTGCATTTGCAGTTAGAAACTCGGACTAATTCAAATGAATTGCTCGTGTTTTTGATTAACACACGAAATAAATGAGAAAAACCAAAGTTACCAGAGGTGCAATGATCCACCATGTCCAGAAGATGGAAGTGTTGTTAGTGCCGGAGCCGGAATCGAACCTCGCACCTCTGCACTGTGAAGCAGACGTGCTACCCAGCCACCCACTATGCCGTCTGATGTAAAACCCACGCAGCCACGGGGAGAACATGCGACTTCCTGTGTGGAAGAGGCAGAATCGAACCTCGCACCTCTGCACTGAAGCAGACGTGCTACCCAGCCTGATGTGACTTCCCTTTAAATGAAATTGTAATTGTATCTAATATCTTGCCTGGTGAATGTATCATTTTATTTTCTTTCATTTTACTTCCATGATTCAACCGTACACGATCTTGTCTCGTCCATTTCATTTTTGTATTTTGATATGCTTTCTTTTATTTTATTACAGTTTCAACCAATACTGTTCTTGTCTCCTCTGATTTTTTTGTATTAATAGCCTACTTTCTGAAATTTTATCCAATCTTGTCTTCCCTCATTTTATTAGATTTAATTTTATTTCAGCCCATTTTATTTTGTCTTGTCTAATTTTAACATATAATTTTTTTTATTTGATCTAATTTTGCGTAATTTCATACACTCTTATCCAAGCTTATCTCATCATCTTCATTTTCTCTCATTTTAGTTCTTCTCACTCATTCTCTTTACTTTCATTTGTATCTTTTACTACCTTGTCTCACCGCATGTTAACCTATCTTGTCACATCTTTATGTTATTTGTCTTATATTTCTTACAATGTAACTTATGTTGCCATACACATAGTTTTGTATTTATTTTCTTTCCCGGACAAATCAAAGGGACGAGGCCAAAGGGTCCACTAATGAGAACAAACGCATGTTCTCATGGTCGTGTTTGCTGCTGTGGTATAAACAGCCTGTGGAGGTGGGGCCGAACTGTAAATAGCAGGACATGTATTTGCAGTAAATCAGTGTTATTTACACCTTTTGTTTCAGCGTGGGCGGCGGTGTGACGTGCTCGGGGAGTCACATAAAGGGTATTTCTCACCAACGCTTTCCTGTTATTTTCCTTCCTTGTTAGGCTCCTTTTGTTTGTTTGGATGCGAGGCCTCGGACCGCCGCCTCTCAGGGGAATGGAGGGGAACGTTCCGAACGCTGCGCCACTGCTTCCGTGTACCTGCAAGCGTATTTGACACCATTTTTATGGAACTCTTTAAGGTATTACAATTGACGCTGGTCAACAGCAAATTTTATTCAGAGATGGCTTTAGGTATCCCTGGACATATTGTTAACGCTGATTGCAAAAGTAAATTTTTTTCTCAAGCACATTGGTTTTTGAGATATTTCCTTTTTTTTTGTTTGTTTGTTTTGGGGTTTAACCTTTAAATACACATTTTATCGTGTTGTAATTTATAGGTATGGTGTTTCAAAATCCACGTTTTGCATACTCACGCTAAGGCACAGAGATTTGCATTTTCACATATTTCAAAAAAATGTACAATATAAAGAAGTTGAACAAAAAGCACAATTGCTTGATATCCAACTAGCTTAGTTCGAATTTAGAGGTGTAAAGTGAGGTTCGATTTTCATATTGGATGTCTGTCAGACACGTAATGGAAAGGGAACAAGAAAGTTTTGTTGAATGTCACCTAGTGGATTTTTGAGAACTCTTGCCAGTATTCGCATTCCAACACACCTGGAACTTTTGTTGACCTATTTGATATGTCATCGAATGCACTGCTCATATTTGTACTGCACCCAGTAACGGACAGTTCCTCTTCTATGGTTATCATCATCCAAAACACACTTTTGGAGTGAATACATTTGATGCTCACTAAGCTAAATACTTGTGAATCGTTATTGTAGCCCAAATACCTCATTTGCTTCATTGATGGAAGAACTCATTGAAATATGTCCTTTCGTGACTCCCACGGGCAGAGGACAGGACCTTTTTTTAGTGTGTGTGTGGGTGCGCCTGTGTGTGTGGGTGTGTGTGTGTGACAAAAATTCCTCGCTTTTTCGGAGTGTCACTTGCTCTTGAATTCCTGCCTGGCAGACACAACAACAACAGGAAGAAGGGCCATTTTCACAGGTGTCAGGAAGTGCAGGAAATAAACACACCGAATGCGGCGCAAACATTTTTGTGGACGTGTTTAAAGAGTCTGACGTGAGGCTTTAAAAACAAATGACCCTTGCGGGACCCCCGTGTCATTACCATTCCATCCGATTTCAAAATTCCAATGGTCCCAAATATAATTTTCTCCAGGTATAAAACCTAAACCATTCAAGGACTGTTCCACTGAGTCTTATCCAAGTTTCCAACGGTATCAAATACCGCACTTAGATCAAAGAAGAATGGACACCTTTCCTGAATCCCTTTTAAGACCTGAGATCATTCAGCAACAATTATAGGAAGGCAGAAATCAAACGCTCACATAATACAAATATGTTTTCTTCTTGAATGAAATATTTCATGATTTTTTTTTTTTTTGCTGCAGCAGAAGATGCTTCCCGAAACAGGCTAACAAACAAATGCTCTTTGATCACTTTGTATTTAATTGTAAGACCATTCTTGACATGTATACATCTTTTACACAGTACAAATACAACAGGGATGATTGATATATGTGGTACAGTGACACCATGAAAAAAGATTTATTCTATTCTCTCACTTGAAGGCACACTATACATTTGGAGCGTCAAGAGTAAAAAGGTGATATAATCAACCATATAAATAATATCCACATACAGTCAAGAAGAGGACAATAAAATAAGGCCTGTGCGTTCCTTTATAAGTTAATGCTACATTTCCACTGACTCAGTGAGCGACTGAATGAATGTATGGATGATTGAATGCACTGGTCAGCGAGGGCTGAGCCGCTTGGAAGCGTCGGATCTATTGACCGCCGGTTGATCGGAGTCTTGAACCTCTCCCGAACCCTCCTCTCCATCTTGAGGCTCCGTCTTGAGCTTGCCGGCCAATTTGGCGAAGAACCGGAGGGTGAGACAAGCGCCGGTCTCCCTGTCACACAGGCCACCTTTGCAGCTGCACGTTTTACGGCACTCCATGCCATAGGTGCCAAAGTGGCAGTCTGGGAGGAGACCAAACAAATAACACGCAAGTTTATTCATTTATGTGTTCATTGATTTTTTTTTAAACCACAAATAATCCATGTAGAAGCACATGGACCACTTTATAAGGTTCACCTGCACTGAGTTAGGTCAACAACTCTACCTCGATGAATTGTGCACCACTGCAAGCTACGTACAGTCTTGTGCATGAGTGGAATTTTCAGAAAAGAACAGTTAAATATTTGGATAAGTGGTACAAATAATGGATGGACGGGATGATTAAAAAGAATAGTCCATTGAAATATTAGAAAATGTATACAATAAATCCTATAATATTTTACATAAAATCAGACCTATGCATGATATTTAATTAATTAACTATATAAGATAAAAATGTTGAATTACTTTCTGACAGTTTTAGACAATTTGGGACGTTAATGCAATATTTTGAAAATTAGTCTAATATTTGACACATTTTGTCGTCATTTTTATTTTTACATTCTTATATTTATTTCTTTTAGAAATATTTTTTTTGCGATGAAGAGATTTGGATTCAAAAATTAGAAACCGTTCGAAATATTGGGAACAGACTACAATCGTAATAAATATTCACAGTTAAATTCAGTATTCTCTCAGTGTTAGTTATTTTTTCTCTGTTAATTACACGTGTCTCTAATACAGTGTCCTTCCTGTGTGCAATTACATAAAGTTAGGGGGATAGGACGGGTGTGTTTAACTTCAATTCAACCAAATCAATTGGACTTGGGGACGTCAGTTACACGGGCTACAGCCTGCAGTATTTTGGTGCAACGCGTCAAGTGAAGCGGTACCTTTGCACACGCCGTATTCATCCCCGTAGTCGTCCTCGTCCTTGTAGAACTCGCAGAAGAGGCCCGGTCCGCACTTGACGCCGTGCATGCCGGACACGGTGCGGTAACAGTGCTCCCCTCGGCCGGCCGTGCACACCCGGCAGCAGCCGCAGTCGTCTAGCACGGTGCGCGCGCAGCCGAGCGTGGGGCCGCAGCGCCCCGCGTCGCACCTGTCCGGGCAGTTGACGGCGTACTTGACGCCGGAGCCCCACGCCTGAGCCGCGTGGGCGCTGTGGGCGAGCAACGAGGACAGCACCGTGAGAAGCAGCAGAGACATGGCTGGCGAAGAGGAGGAGGAGGCGAGTGATGTGGAGGTGGCGGTGGGGATGCTGATGATGAGAGGCTGCGGCGGTGAAGGAGAGCCTCTGCGAGGGACTCGAGCGAGTGAGGAGGCGAGCATCAGACGGAGAGCTTTTCACGGCATCCAACAAGTTTGTTTTGCACTTCGCTCTCGTCAATTTCCTCATTCCGCTCCTTTTTTTAGAGATCCGGCGTGGAAGTGCATGCATGGGATTAGCGCCATCCAGGAACAGAAATCCACGTGACCTCATGCCACAAATGTTTTTGTAGGAGCCCAAGGAACCGCGCTGTCATCGGCCCTTCGTGCTACAGGTTGCTTTGGAACCAGAGGATGCTGTTTCCCAGATCCAAAAGGGCAAAATTTGAGGATGTGCAAAATTTCGAAAAGTGTAAAAAAACAAACAGAAAAAAAAGAGACAGCGAAATATGCTCAAGTATTTCCAACCTAGACCCTAAAGTGTGTTCAAACGTTTTCATTTAATGGCAACATATAGAAAATGGAAGGATGTAAGGGGTGTTCGAACATTTTTTTAACAATTTATTCGACAAACTGAAATCAATCGATCAAGCAATTGTATTTTGTTTTTAGTCTATAGTTATTTTGGGGGGGAAATGATGCTGAACAGAAAGTGCACTTTCTTGTGGTGTCTCTTCTTTGTAATTTATTCCGGTTTATCAATGTCATATGATCAGATATATTGTTGCTTTTGAATATCAACATGTGATATTGTTATATTGTTTGTTGATTGAGTCAATAAAGTTTTTTAAACAAGTATCGACAAAATTCAAGCAATTTCATTCTTTATTTAAACTCTTTTCAGTGACATCGATTTTGATGATAAATAGAGATGACATTTTTTTTTTGTCACGTTCAGTATGTATACTTTGTGTGACATTTTTATTTGGTGGTGCCTGGAGAGTTTGTCGAATGTAAAATAACCATCACGACGATGGTGACGATGATGAAGACGATGATTATCGATGAAGATGAGGCGGAGTTCGACACAAGATGGCGGTAAGGTAGTCGTCCGACGCCGGCCGCCTTCAGCTGATACAACCTCAGAAGAAGAAGAGGAAGAGCAGGAGGAGGAGGAGAAGGAGGAGGGGGGAGAAGAGGGGGCATAATATAGTCTATTTGTCCGATTACGGGACAGGTACCGCCGACGGTTCTCCTGAACTAGCGAACCTGTCAGCGGGGTCAAGCTACCAAAAGCGCCCGAAATATATGGAAGCTAACATACATGTCAGCGCTTGTTGTTCGCCATCGTCACACACCCGCCTGGACGTCACCGAGCAGCGGGGCTTGTTGTGGGGCCAGCTGTCATCCAGCCACCGAGCCGAGTGGTGCGGGGAGGGTCGTATTTGGCTCGCCCTGACAGCCGCAGTGTAGTCAGCCCTGCCTCGCGTTAGCTCACTCGGTTGAACCGGTGGAGCTTGGATTGAGTCCTAGGCTGTTATCCATTGTGTTGCCGAGGTGAGTCGCCGCAATGTCACCGGTGTGTGTGTTCTTGTATCCTCCGGAAGGTGCTGGGTCATGTCTTGCTAATATACTGGACCATCGAGTCAGCTAATGTCATCAGCATGGATGCTCATTCACACGCATCTTTGCATGATGCTGCATAAAATCAGTCAATGGCACATGCTGCTCCATTTTTTTTTATTGGCGTTGTCCTGGCAACACAGCCACCATCCACCCCACTCCTCTCACCTTCCTAGTCTCAACCCCCCTCATGGCTCACGTCCCAAGTAAGGGCATCCATCCTTCAACAACTTGGCTAGGTTATGCTTCATTCCATCAAACACACACAAGCATTTCCAACTTCCAACTTGTGATAAAATGGCATCCAAATGTCATTGTCATCGTCAACATGAAGCATGAGTGGTTAACCCGTATCGTTTGCCTGTATTGTGCTATATGTGGTGACGAGCAAGGCACGAGAAGAGAAGAAGAACAAATTTTCTCATTTTCCACACATCTCTAAAATTTGTATTGGTAACACCCTGAGGAGTGATAATTCAGTTACAGTAGCAAATAGCCTGCGTCGTTATTGTTTGCTGCGCTCTCAACTCTCTGTCACGGTCATGTTGCAGATTACTCTTGTTTTGGTTCTGAATGTGAAAATCTGCTTCTGCGTAGTACAGAGGAGGATCTACTCTAGTCATATACAAAGCCAAGCCACCCCAAGTTCCAGAACGTTCCTTAAAATGTTGCTTTGTCGTCATATTTTTTTTTTGATAAATACTTTATATCTAATAATTATGAAACAATATATAATTGCTGCACATTTACTTATACTGATGGATTAGTTTCAGCGAGTTAGATGAATGAGAGATGAACAATGTCAAAGTGACCCTTGCATCCTTTGATTTTTCTGTATGTGGCAAATATGGAAAATAAAGTTCGGGCCCCCCTGGGTTAACATGTTTGCTCCACAGATTTGAGGTTCGGGGTTCAAATCAAATTTTCCTGTTCTCCCAATGCGTGCATGGGTTTTGTCTGCATAATCTGACTCCCTCCCACATTTCAAAAACAGACATATTAGGTTGTTTGGCTCTATGCAGCATGTGATTGGCTGAGGACAAGTTCAGGGTCCACCACACCTTTCGCCTACACTCAGCTGAGATAGGCTGCAGTTCAACCACAGTTCTTATGAGGATGAGAGCTATACAAAATGATTTCTGAATTATATTGGCCTAAATGATACACTTCAGCAGTATTATTTTGTTGTTGCTGGTTTTGTTTTGCTTGTAGTGGCTGCCAGCTCACTGGACCGTATCACTGTAAGTTATTTTTGTCCAGACTGGAAACCATATAGCCCTAGAAAGGCATGCAAACATGCTTGGAGTTCCCTCGGCCTTCTCTGCTCGTGTCTCGTTTGAGTACCAGGTGGGGTTTTGGGTTCGTGAAGCCCACGACCCGAGACTTCTTTTTTGATCCTGGCTCATCAACAGATTATTTCCCTGGTTGGTTCACACATACCGAATCACAATTGTCTTTTTTTCGAACCTATATAGCACCAATTATTTTTTTGCTACCCTGATCCCCCCCACTGCTTTGAATCCAAATACTTTCGTAGACATGGTCAAGAAAGGGAGAACTAGGTAGATAGCTTTGTAGATTTGTACCACACTTTTTAGATACTTTTGAGATGCAAAATTCCACGACAGATCTTTGACCTTTTAGTCTCAAGTTTACAGCTGCAGGCTGTACATCCATTCACTGTTCAAGTTCACGTGTTTTTCCCCGTCATTCAGGTGCTCGTCAGGGTGAAGATAATGCTCAGACATGATGCCCTGTCAGACCCATGTGTTGCTCAAGTGGCAGGAACACCTCAACAGTTCCTGGGCGGCGGAGGACAGCCTGCAGACGGCCACCAGGCATGGGGCAGCCACCCTCTACAACAGGCTTCTCCGCAACAAGGAGGTGTTGAGTCTGGCCCAGCCCGTCCAGGAACTCGTTGGCCCTCGGCTGCCCGACTTTGAGTGCGAGTCGTGCGCCGCCGCGGAGAAGGAGGAGTATCTTTTGTCACTGCTCCAAAGTCAACGATGGCTGGCTCGCCGCATGCTGACACAGACCCGCTACACGCAGGGTCTCCACCACAGGCTGGTGACCCTGCAGAGGATCTTCTACGCTATTCACACCAAGTACCATGACAACTTCCGCGCCCATCTTTCCTCTCAGGCCACAGAGAGCGGTGCGGATTGCGGGCATCTTGAGCTGGCCTCCGACCCGTGCCTGCCAGGGGGGTTGCCCAAGATCAAGTCGGGCACGGATGTTCTGATCGAGATGGGCGTAAGGACGGGTTTGAGCCTGCTCTTCTCACTGCTGCAGCAGAACTGGAGGTACGCAGCCTCCGTCCATCCCGAGTCGATGCTGTGCAACGACGTGCTGGCCACCGCCTCCTCCGTGCTGGCGTCACTGCCACCGCTTTCTCTGGCCAATGAGAGCAAGATCCCCTCAGTCGGGTTGGACTGCCTGGCACAAGTGGCCGACTTCCTGAAGAAGACGTCGGCAAGTAGTGGAAGCGGCGGCGCCGATGTGACAGGTCGGAGGCTGGCGTTGGAGCTGCTGCTCGGCCTGGCCATGCAGAGAGGCTCGCTCAAGTTTCTGCTGGAGTGGGTGGAGGTGGCTTTGGCGGCCTCCGTGTCCTCGCGCACCTCTGCGCCGTCTTCCTCCTCCACACTGAGCACACCGCAAGCAGGTGGTGTGGGATTCGATTTCATCCATCAAACTCTCCTTCAGATGAGACAATTTTCGGTAGGCTACAGTTTCACGTATCATGTCGTCTGCCTTTCGCTTGTAATTCTTTTTTTATTCATTTTAAAGTAAATTTACGAGAATATTTTTTGTATGTTTTATACAATAAAATATTCAGTTCTAAAATATTCAAACAGATTTTAGAGCAATATTGGAAGTAACGATGCTAAAATTAAATTGTGAAATTTGTCCTTAAAAATCAAAAAAAAATTGTATTTGTGTTTCGTTTTTTTTTAGTCTATAAATATTAAGAGAAATATTTATAAGAATTAGAATAGGTTTTTGACATTTTAGTCGAAAGCATTTTGAACAATACTATTAAATATTTTCATGACTGTAATGAACAAGGAGCCATTAACATCCTCCAGGGTTTCCGTGGAGACGCCATCAACATTCCAGTGCTCCAAAAGGACACGGACGGACTTTGCTGTCTTTCTCAGGCCGCCCTCTGTCTTTTCGAAGAGGTATAAGATTCAGTCTTTTTCGCGAAAGTTTTTCCGGAGCTCACTCTCTACCTGTCTTTTGCAGATCTGTAACCTGGCATCCTTCTGCCTGTGCTCCTGCAGCGCCGACGCAGACGCTCCCGGCTCCAGCAGCGAAGCCGTCGTGGTATATGTGTGGGGCAGCAACAGCAGTCATCAGCTGGCAGAAGGAACGCTGGAGAAAATCTTACTCCCCAAACCCACACAGGGCTTCAGCGACGCTCAAATGGTGTGTGGGGTCTTGGAGCACAATAACAAAACATGTCTAAATCATCAGATGGCGAGAATACGTAGTACAAAGCAGTCTAAAGCTCTATGTGGTGGGCTGGCCACGTGCACTTCTTTCAGATCGAGGCCGGCCAGTACTGTACCTTTTCCGTGTCAGCTGATGGCGCCGTAAAGGCCTGCGGTAAAGGCAGCTACGGCCGCCTGGGTCTGGGTGACTCCAACAACCAGTCCATGCCCAAAAAACTGGTGCTGGAGCCTCATAGGAACATGAAGAAGGTATCCTCCTCCAAGGGATCAGACGGTCACACTTTGGCCATCACCATGGAGGGAGAGGTAAGAGAATATATGGAATAATCTCTCACATTGAGATGAAAGAGCTTGGCCATTTTATATCTGTAATTACACTTACAATTACAAAGCACATTATATATGTAACAAATACATTTTTTTGCAATACATTGCTATTTTTCTTCATGAAAAAAAATGGCCTTTTGGGGGGGCGGAACGGATTAATGGCATTTCAATTCATTTCATTGGAGAAGATTGATTTGCCATTCAAAAATTGAGTTACAAACTTCGTCATGGGATGATTTATAATTGCAAGTCAAGGTACCACTGCATGTGAAATTGTAATGTTCTCTCGGTTGAATTGTAATTCGCTTCATCCCGGCTTCAGTTTCACTGTATCAATCATCTGATTTTCAAAATATGTCTTTTAGGTGTTCAGCTGGGGTGATGGAGAATATGGGAAACTGGGTCACAGCAACAGTGCTACACAGAAATACCCCAAAATCATCCAAGGACCGCTGTCAGGCAAAGTGAGAAAGTGTGCTTTCTGGATAAATGGGTCAAGGAGACTTTTTGACATGCAATTTTTGCATCTCTCTTCCAGGTTGTCGTGTGTGTGTCTGCTGGCTACAGGCACAGTGCTGCCGTGACCAATGACGGCGAGCTTTACACATGGGGCGAAGGGGACTTTGGGAGACTTGGTGCGAGACTTTATTTTTTTGCAACTCTCATAGCATGTTAGCAATCATCCGCTCTCTTTTCCGCTTATATCACGCAGGCCATAGTGACAGCCAGAGCCGCAACACGCCCACACTGGTGAAGGACATCAGCGGCGTGGGGCAGGTGGCGTGCGGCAGCTCGCACACCATTGCCGTGGCTCAGGACGGACGCACTGTGTGGTCCTTCGGAGGAGGCGACAACGGTATGCTCGTCACCATAACCGCATCTGGGGTCGTTGATGTGGCGTTTGTGCCCTAACGTAGCTGCCGCCCTTTAGGTAAACTCGGCCACGGCGACACGAACCGAGTATATCGGCCAAAGATCATAGAAGGCCTGCATGGGTGCATCATCAGGAAAGTGTGCGCTGGCAGTCAGTCATCTCTCGCGCTCACCTCTGCGGGACAGGTGAGAATCTGGTTTTGACATGGTTGAATCGGTGAGAGGAATGGTCTGATCTCTTGACAAAAACTGAAATGCTAGGTTGAAATTGATGCTTTTACTCGTGTTACTACTACAGCCAGATGCCATTTGTGTGATTCATCCAAGGTGTTCGCGTGGGGCTGCGGCTCGTGTCTAGGGTGCGGGTCATCCGAGACTACCTCCCTAAGACCCCGATTCATAGAGGAGCTGAGCATCACCAAGGTCATCGACATCTCATGCGGGGACAGCCACTGTCTGGCACTGTCGCACGGTACGATAAAGACTGACCCGTATTTCTTTTATTGCTTTTCTCACGAGTGTGTGGTATTGCTTTGTACGCAGAGAACGAAGTTTATGCCTGGGGCAACAACACCATGGGCCAGTGTGGGCAAGGCCACACCTCCACGCCCATTACCAAACCCAAGAAAGTGCTTGGCCTGGAGGGGGTGTCCATTCAGCAGATCACGGCAGGAACTTCACACAGCTTGGCTTGGACTGCGGTACCGACTGACAGGTAAAGACTTTCTTAATTGGGGTATACGCATGGAGAACTGCGAGCGAGACAGTCTCCTTTTCATTCGCTCAAAGTGATGTTATGCAATTGTGTTCCAGTTCTGAGAGCGAAAGAGTGAAAATAGCTGCTTAGGATTACTTTAAAAATATTTTTAATATGTTTTGGGGGAAATAAAACAGGTGCGTGTAATGTGGGTGGTTGTGTTTCTTTTGCCAGGCAACTAGTGGCATGGCACAGGCCATTCTGTGTGGACCTGGAGGAGAGTACCTTTACTTACCTGCGCGGTTTCCTCGAAAGCTACTGCGATGGCATCGGGGATGACGCACCTCCGGCGCCATTCTTATCCAAGCGGTATGTGGATGGCAATGTATGAATTGATTGGTAATAATTGTGTCTATGGTTTGGAATTGAAGGAGTGCGGAGGCGCTCTCAACATACAGTGGAACGACGAGGGTTATAGTAGTTTTGAAATTTTCATGAGGGTTAGTTTTTAGTTGTTTTCGAGTTTTGTGTTGTGTAAATTTAGTTTGGAATAATTTTCACGACAACAACTCCCAGACAACCGTTTGACTGTCCTTCCGCCTAATACCAAAATAAATACATTTAAAATCTACGGCAAAGGCTCTTGTATTATTATCAATTGCCATAGATGAAAACAAAGGACATTTTTGCGATTAGTTTTGCAAAAGTAAAAAGTTGTCACATAAGCAGCACTCTCTGTACTGTATATGTTACCCCAGGGAGCATCATCAGTTCATTTTGCTGTGCATGAAGCTGCTCTCCATCCATCTGTCGTTGGCTCATGCCGGGGGGACCGGTGCTATGGTGTTGGGGGCTCAGGGCAGGCCCCTGCGGAATCTACTCTTCAGACTTATAGACACCAAGATACCTGACTCCATACAGCAGGTACCCTTGCTTGTCATGATGTCATCAAATGAACTTAGGGCAGACAGTCTCTGCATTTGTCTTTGTGTCTGTGAGTGCAGGCGGTCATGAACACGCTCTCTATCGGCGCCTCGCTGCTTCTGCCTCCGCTGAGGGAACGGACAGAGCTGCTCCTCTCCCTCCTACCTCAGGGTCCTCAGAGTCTAAATGTTCTCTCCAAAGGTCAAGTAAGTGCAATTTTGAAAAAAAAAATATTGGCACAAGTAGTACACGCACGTTAAGATTGTTTGTATGGATTTCCTAGCGCCTGCAGTTGGACATGGTCCTCAGCAGCCTCCAAGACCAGAGTCACATGGCATCCCTGCTAGGTTACAGCAATTTCGGGGACGTGGCGAACCTCGTGCCACCTCTGACGCCCACCCCATCTGCCCGACCGCCCTCGTCCTCCTCCTCCTCCGCCTCATCCGAAGCATATGACCCTTTCCATTTAGCAGAGGTGCTTCTCAGAACCCTTCTGCTCAGTATTGGCTTTTACACGGTATGAACAAACACTGTTCCCCTTTGAAAGCAATGTGGCTTCTGGATTTCTGCGCCTCACTGCAGTGTTGTGCGTGTTCATATAGGAGCGAGCATTTGGGGAATTAGAGAAAAACAGTGATAAGCTACTATCGAGTGAAAGTCAACGAGAGTCTGAGCCTCCCTCGCACTTTCACCAGCTTCTCTCCGGACTTCACAAACACATGCTTGCCCATTGCTACATTCACTACAGCCCCGAGGTACTGTGGATTTTTTGTCTCTTCTCCCCTCTAATAGATGAACAAGAATCATCATCCCATGATTTCACAGTTTTTCCACAGAGGAAATTCTTACTCTCTTTAGATTCTAAGTTATTCACTGGAAAATCGCATTGTTCAACCCAACAGTTGGCTTGATGAATCAGCAACATTGACACCCGCTATTCTCACTTCCTTTCAGGATGACAGCAGTGTCAAATTACTTGGTGAGCATCTTCACTTGATGTTCTCATGCGCCGGGGAGACGCTGAGGAGATCAACGAAGCTGTTGAAGGACAGCTTCATCGACACGCAGATCATGAAGAAGCTGCACGGTAAGGACACGCCTGAAGTCATTTGGAGGAGATCCATTAATCCATCCATCCATCCATCCATTATCTAAACCACGTTTCCTCATTTGGGTATGTCGGGCATCTGAACTAAATGGAATATCCAAATAAATTTAAAGGGTATCTTGTGTGCTTTTTTTGAAGGTGTCTTCATAAACCTTTCTGATATTTTTGTTAATATTCTCTAAAATGGCCTCTTGGTGGATCTCTCTTTTGGTCCATTCTTATTCCACCTTTCCTGCTTCTCTGTTGTCCAGTGGTGTTGTACAACTCCATGGCAGGCAGCCTGCTGTGTCAGGTCATGTATTCGCTTCTGCTGCTGCCCCTCAGCACGGTCCAGCCTCTGCTTGGCCATTTGCTGGACTTGCTGGAGGACCTAGACAGTTTCAACCAGTTGCTGCCGGAGACGGACATGCTTGAGCAACATGAGCTGCAGGCAGAGGACTCGACACTCCCCTCAGGTCTGTGGTGTTTGCGCTACTGTACTGTCCAATTAAAAAAAAAGAATTATCATCTATGCTGACGAGTGACATAATCACTGGATAAAAAAAAAAGAACTTCAGGAGGAAGCGGAGGAGTGCGATTGGCTTTGGCTGTTGGATCTGGAGCGCTCTGTCGCACTAGCAGTTGGACGCTGCCTTGGCGGGATGATGCAAGGCCTGCCGCCCTCCCCTCAGGAAAGAACCTCAGAGTTCTGGCTATCCAATGTGCTCCTCCGCAACGGCCTTGAGATGGACTATGAGGAGCTTGGTAAGATGAATATTCAATGCCTCCCCTTTTCCTACTTACATAAAAGTAGTTGTCTTATTAGCTCAAAAAGGATCGATCTTCTTACGGTAATTCTTATTCAATGAACGCAATATTGTCCTCCAGACTCGTGCATGGCATGGCTGACTGAGGCGGTGCTGTTGGGCGGAACCGATTCAAGGCTGTCCGAGCTGAGCCTGAACCAGGAATCTCTGATGTTACTCGAGGTGGCGCTGGGATCCACCAGAGGACCCGCTGGGTGCCTACTGCAGAAGATGGAGGACTACGCTCTTGGCAGAGGTACGTTGTTGTTTGATTGTCATTTTTACCTGACCTTGTGGCGATGATGCATTGGGGGGACACTTCCACAAGATCACACGTAATTCGAGGTCTAACTAATTTCAACACCCTCGTTTCAGTTCAAAGCAGTTGTAGTCAATCACTTTCATGTCATGTGAGGGGTACCCTGGTATCTGTTGAAAATAAAATGCAAACTGGTCTTTGTTGCTGTGACAGCAGAGTGGGAGACTGGAGGATCTTCATGCGACAGTTTGCTGGAGGCCGTTTGTCGCTGCAGCTTGGCAGCACTTCTGAAGCACACAGGGATACCAGATAAAGCCTGCTGGCAGGCCAGGTCGGGAACACAATGTCCTTTCTATATTTGTCTTTAGAGATATTTTATTGTATTTTATTTGAAATTGTCTAGATCTTTTTTTATGGTTTTTGTTACTGTCTCATTTGTAGTACTTAAGTCACAGCAGCAAATGCGTTTCTGATTCAAAACTTTTACGCTTCTGACCACAGAAAGGTTTTTCTTTTTAGTTTAAAATGGCTTTCCTTGTGTGTGTGTGGGTGTGTGTGTGTGTGTGTGTGTGTGTGTGTGTGTGTGTGTGTGTGTGTGTGTGTGTGTGTGTGTGTGTGTGTGTGTGTGTGTGTGTGTGTGTGTGTTTATTGCAAAGCATATGTAATGATCTGTTGTTTTTCAGATATGAGCCCTGCAAGAAGCTGTTAGATGTCTTTGAAAGCGTCTCTAAAATCAGAATGTCGCTGTTGGCCCACAAAAACTCACCAAGGACCTCGCAGGTGCTCGCTGCTGCCAAACAGGTACCACCACTTGGATGAAGACACTATATTGAATGAATACATGTAAAGTTGTTGTTCTGGGTGTTGGCAGACCTCTCAGTGTCAGAGTCCTGCGTCAGAGGAGCCAGGAGCTCCTGTTGTGAAAGAACGCGAAAGGTTGTCTGTAGGTCAATGCAGCCGGGAGGTGCAGGTGCCGCCACCCCCCGAAGCCAACCACAACCAGGACCATGACAACGCCATGGAGGAGTCATTGGGCAGTAATCGCATCGATCTTACAGGTTAGAGAAACGGATTTTAGACCCACCCATGACATTCAACCTTATCCGCTTGCATTCCCATTACTTGTACAACGTTGGACTGATATTATTTGTAGGGTTTTAGATTTAATCGCAACAACATTCCTGTCCGTACAGAAGTCCTGGAGTCCTTCATGGCAACACGCGAGGCCATGCAGGTGCAGCAGAACATGACTGTGTACGAGTCCTTTGGGACCTCCGTGGAGAGCCCGGTCAGCCCCCACAGAGACCTTGATCCCAGACAGCAGTGGAAGAACCGGAGAGAGTCAGAGGAGGACAGCTTGCCTTTCCCCACCGCCTGCCGTCTACTCGTCTGCCGCTGCCTCTTCCTGCTACTGGGGGTCCACCCTGCCTGGGCAGAACCCAGTGAGAGGGAAGACGGTCAGGCATCCAACGCTAGCACAAGGTAAAAATCTGTTAATTTTTTTTAAAATGCTGTTTTCTAACGGTATGTTCCCATAATCAACATTCCAGGACAGCTACACAGTCTTTTGGTCTCAGACAGCAGGTAAATGTCTTTATTTTTAAGTTAAATTATCATTTGACCCCTCTTATCACACCTCATGTTTTTCATTCAGTCTGACCAATCAAAGACCTCCTTGGGATCATACAAGAATAAAATGGGTAAGCATGTTTTAATCCATACTCGTTAATTTGATAGGTAGCATGTATAGCTAGCACTGTACACCAAAAATAACCTGAAAAGTGTTTTTTTTTCCTCCCAAGATTTGCCTCTCTGCTCTTTGGACATCATGAAAGATGCTTGGGATCGACTGCGTCAGTGCATCAGCCCAACTTCCCCGGCTACGGCCAATTTGGGCGACAACACCCAGCTGATCCTGGACCAGGCGCTCCAGTTTGTGTGCGGCAACATGCTCCAGTTCACAGTGCCCAACCAGGCTTTCCTTGAAGCTGATCCCAAAGCTATAGCCCTTGCGATCCTCCAGCAACAACAGAGGGCTGAGGTATGTAGAGCAGATTGATGAAAAGGTTTGCCTATTGATGCCACAAAATGACAGCAAAGTACAACTTTTTTTAAGAGTAGAAAAGGCTAACTAAGGGAAGCTCTTGACGTAGCTCAATCTCTGTGTGTCTGCTTTGGTCAGATGCGCCTGGAGGCCTTCCGTCAGATGTCATCTTTCCTTTCCAAGATGGAGGAGAAGAGCTGTTCTCCGCACTGTCCCACCTTGTTGCAGTCGGTGCAGCTTCAGTTCCTGTCCGGCTGCTTTGCCTTGGGAACGCAAATCATGGGCTCCCACACGGGGACTCATTACGAAATGCGCCATTACACGGTATGTACGTTTGTGGCGGTCACGATAATGTCACCATTGTTTCCAAGTCATGACTGCATTAATACTTAATGCATTTTCTCCATCCAGGCTGGCATCCATTCAGCTGCTATTGACAAGCAAAGGGAGTTGCAATCTGCAGCACATGCGTTCTACCAGCAAGTGGTGCATGTCCTCAGACAAAGGGTCCTGCTTGAAAGAAAACATCCAGGTTTGTGACCTCCACCAGTAAAAGGGGAAGTCAAGCCCCAAATTTTCTTAACTAGAATACATTCAACTTGAGTAAGGTCACCTCAAATTAATGCCTCATTGATTTTAAAAAAAAACTGTTTATCCTATTCATGACACTGGTAATTATCCCACAAACCCTCCAGAGTATTAACAAAATATCAAATAATCTGTAAACCATCAATTGAAATCAATATTTGAAAAAACACAACTAACCTAGTATTGAACTAGATAACAGACGTTTATGTAGCAGCTAGCCACCCTTGGTGTAGGCCTGAAAATGCGGGTGTGCTTTTTTTTTTATGTGTAATATTTGTGTTTATTATTTTTCCTCTGCAGTTATTTTGTCTTCATCCGTTCTCAGGTTCGTGCCAACACCTCCTGCTGGCCACCATGTTTGCACTGAACTTTAGCTACCAGCCGGTGGACCTGGTGCTAGTGGTCAAGCGCGGCATCCTGGACCTGCTCTGCATGCTGACCGACAACAGTTGTGCCCTCATGAACCAGGGCTGGCTCGCCATCTCCACGTCAGGATGTCCACTGCTGAGTGGCGCTGTCAAGCTGGCGTGTACGCGTCTGCTGCAGATCCTTACAGTCACTTCCAGGTAAGTCTTAAAATTTCCCTTGAGGAAGGAGCCGGCCGGGGTGACCAAAACAGCCATGTGCTTTCAGCTCCTGTGAGGATCTGCTTCCTCTCGAGATTTCCCACTCTCTCATGGAGGTAATGTGTCAGCATCTCCAAAACGTACTGCATGCATTCCATCAGCAGCAAGCAGCAGAGATTGCAAAAGCAGAGACAACAATAAAGGAGGAGGCGGAGGAGGACGGATTGAACTTAAAAGGTGTGGAAAATGGTTTATTACCAATGTATCTATCTTTATCTTGCCAGTTGAGTGTTTAACGAATTAATCAGTTAGCTAAGTGATTGTCTAGTTAGCTAGCTAACAATCAAGTAACTTTTTTTTTTATATGCACTCTTTCGGATTGAACTTAAAAGGTGTGGAAAATGGTTTATTTACCTATCTTTATCTTGCCAGTTGAGTGGTTAACAAATTAATCAGTTACTTAATTGATTGTCTAGCACTTCCAGGTAAGTCTTAAAATTTCCCTTGAGGAAGGAGCCGGCCGGGGTGACCAAAACAGCCATGTGCTTTCAGCTCCTGTGAGGATCTGCTTCCTCTCGAGATTTCCCACTCTCTCATGGAGGTAATGTGTCAGCATCTCCAAAACGTACTGCATGCATTCCATCAGCAGCAAGCAGCAGAGATTGCAAAAGCAGAGACAACAATAAAGGAGGAGGCGGAGGAGGACGGATTGAACTTAAAAGGTGTGGAAAATGGTTTATTACCAATGTATCTATCTTTATCTTGCCAGTTGAGTGTTTAACGAATTAATCAGTTAGCTAAGTGATTGTCTAGTTAGCTAGCTAACAATCAAGTAACTTTTTTTTTTATATGCACTCTTTCAGCATCACAAAGCAGCCGAGTGCTTGAATGTCAGCTTGCCGACTTCTTGGTATTCCTCAGGCGGGTGTTGTCTTCACGGGTAATGAAAACACTCTCCTCGTTCATCAAGTGGGTGGACCCGCTCATGGCCATTATTTCTTCCAAGTGCTCTTTAGGTAATTTCAAGTGGAAAACAAATTATAATTCTTTTATATTACATTTATCGACTGCAGATAGTTTTATATTAATTTACACTGTTTGCTCGCCAGGATCCCCATGCTTCCAGAATCTTCGCACTAAGCTCTTGGCCTTTCATGTTTTGGAACGACTGTTGCCTGCTTGTTCTGAGCCTGAACATGTTACGAAGGTAGGCTCTGGGAAATACTGCATGTCCTCAGTTTATTACTGGAATACAGGGATAAGTGCCACAGTGGTTGCATATTCCAAACTGACAAGTAAACCATATTTCTGAACTTAGAAAGCATTCATCAGCTGTTTCTTCATTTTGACTATTGTAATTGGTTTTATTTGCTTTTTTTTTGTAGATTGTTAAACTCCTCTTTCAGCTGATGTCTGTTTACATGTGGGAGGAGCCCCTAGCTGACGTGACACATAAGGATACGACTCGAAAGGATTCCGAGGTGAATCTGTCAGAATTCTGTCGTCAAAAGTGTTATACCATTTTTCAACCTTTTAAAAACGATTTGTGACCCCTGAATAAAGTTATCTAGTGGTTGGTTAATTTTTTTGATTTCATTTATAATTGATTTCAGGTTCCACTGTTAAATGTACAAATGTACAAATATGTGCTTTTGTTTTTGCTTTTTTCTTACGGTAGAATTCCGGCAGCATTGACGAATGTATTCCCATCGGAGATTTTTCGTTTGACCCGCATAAGATAACATGCTGCTCCCTGGAGAGCGGGAACATCCTCTCTCACGGCACTGGTGGAAAAGGTTATGGCCTGGCGACAACCGCCATCACCTCCGGATGTTTCATTTGGAAGGTAAACGCACCGACCGTGCCATGAAAAAATATTTGCACCTGCTCTGAATGATTTATTTACTTAGTGTAATCAATATGCAAAATAAATGAGACACGGAGAAGGAGTCAAATACTTTTCCATTGGGCTGTGCATTGGAAAAAAACCCAAACATGTTGTGGTTGCTAACTGACTTTCCCCGCCTCCCTCAGTTCCACATCGCCAAAGAACACCGAGGCAATGAGGGCACATGCGTGGGCGTGTCACGCTGGCCTGTCCACGATTTCAACCACCACACCACCACTGACATGTGGTTGTATCGCGCCTACAGTGGCAATCTGTACCATGGCGGCGAGCTGGTCCGGACGCTGCCGTCATTCACCCAGGGCGACACCATCACCTGCATCCTGGACATGGAGGCTCACAGTGTGTCGTTCGCTAAAAACGACAAGGTCTGACCGTGGAGTATTGGTAGCATCACTCCGGTTTATTGGAAAATGTTTTCTAATTTCTTCATGTCTATATAACTATGCCAGGAGCCAAAGTTGGCGTTTGAAGGCGTGGTTGCCTCCGAGCTGTACCCTTGTGTGTTATTCTACAGCAGCAATCCAGGAGAGAAGGTACCTATAATTTTTACTTGCCGCCCAATGACTTCAATCAGGATCCCTAGTCCCCAAGCAGCGATTTTATCCAGGGCTCTGCCGATCAGCATCAGATTATAGATACCTAAAGCAGACTAATACATTCCTAACAGGTGACGCTGGGGGACCTTCAGATGCGAGGCATGCCCAGTAACTTGTTACCTGGCGAGCCGCTGTGCAGCCCGCAGAGCACTGCCCTTGTTGAGTGCACGGTCCAGCTCCTGCGCCGACTCCATCAGTGCGATCAGTGGACGCCGCACATCAACCAGTACATCCATGCCAACTTGGAGCTCATTGGACCCATGCTGAAGGAGGACCACTTGGGACGCTTCGCCCCAGGTCGGTTACAAGCCCAACTCATTGAACCCCTCGGCCTGGTTTAAGAACTTTCATTGTAAGTTTTTTCTCATAGCACTTGCATCTGCTGGCCTCGATCCAACATTCGAGCAAAATGACAGTGACAAAGATCCATCCGAAGACCCTCATCAAAGCCTCTTATCTGAGTCCAAGCTGGTTGCCTTGTGCAACGAAGTATGGCCCGTACTGGCGTTGATCGGAGGCGTGGATGGTGGTCTCCGAGCTGGAGGTTTGTGTCTACACAAGCCCAGCGGGCGCAGAGCCGTCCTGCTGGGGGTCCCAAAAGAGAGGAGCTCTCTGGCCAAACTGCAATGGGAGGAGGCCGACCTCTCGATCAGGTATCCCAAATAAAAGTTAAAAATAGGGATGGGCTCAAAAGAAATGTGACATTTGCCAACAAAAATACTGTAATAAATTCCAGAATTCCGAATTCCAAAATTCTGTCTCCATTTCTAAAGCCCGTCTCTCGTATTTGAATATCTTTGCTTAAATGTGTCATCAATTTTTATAACACTTGTCTTCTGACTATTTAATTCTTTGTTGTTTTTTTTTCCTCCCCTTGATCTTACTAATTTTCTTCTCCTTCTTCATTCGTAAATCTACTAATCCATCCCTGTGTCGCTCGCTGTCTCTGTGGCTTCTCGCAACCCTTTCCCTGAATAACTAAGCTCCGCGAATTCTTGGTCACCCAGCGACACGCCCATCACCTCCCTTGAGGCCTGCGACACGACCTGCTGTGATGTGGCACGACTGGGAGGCCTCAAACCGACGGTGCTGCTGGATTTGATTTACCTGATGGGGTTGCTGGAGGAGCGCGGCTGGCTCGGGACTCGTGCGGCAGCCGTTGGGAAATTGTCACAGGAGAGCCTGGCAGAGGGCGAGCTGCAGTACTGCCAGGATGAGGCAGACGATCTCAAATGCTTTGCAGAAGAGGACTGGAAGAAGGTTGAAGACGATGGGAAGGCGCTGCAAATGTCTCAAACCAAAATAAACACCTTTGCCTTGGAGCTCAGAGCCGTTCGAGTCTCCTACCTTCTCACCGGCGCCTTAAAATCCCTCGCTGTCATTTTCAGCTGCGAGAAGTTGTCACATTTGCTCTCCGGGCCCAAGCCGAATTCCACCTTGTCGAGTCCCAGCTCTGACCAGGATAAAGACGAGGGGCGTGGTGGCAGGCAATGGGACGAGAGTGCCGAGCTGAGGTCCGTGCTGCAGTACGTGGTGCAGAGCATGGTCAAGTGGGCGGTCCGACCCTGTCCCATAAAGCAGAGAGTCTCTCTGGCAGACCTGGAAAGAGCTCAAGTCATGATCTACAAAGGCGCACTGAGTCGACTACAGGATAGAGAACGCAAAGGTACTTCGATCCGCTAGGTTGACCTTCTGCAACTTGAGTTTCTCCCACCATAACTTGGCAGCTTTGCTGGGTGAAAATCCGCTATTTTCCAGCAAAAGCCAACGTGAGATATGAGTATTGATCCTTGGCGTATTTTGATGGAAGCATGTCACAGGCATGTTATTGTGGTACAGCTGGGAACTGTTTTAATCAATTGCAAAAATAAATAAATAAACACAATATGTCTGCTTTATAGAGTCTTGCTGTTCCATTGTAGGAATTGTTTACTTGATTGGAATGTTGAAATGATCCAACAGTTTCAGTGTATTTTAAGTAAACGTCATAACCTTGTTTTGTTTTGTTTTTTTTCCTCCAGAATCAGGCCACCATTTCACTTCCCAGCCCATTTCCAAGTCCTCCAGCTCCGTCTCCTTGTACAGTGTCGGATCGGAAGGCACAGCCATTTTCGGCCAGTCCAACCGAGCCTCCGCGTCGTCATCTAACACAGAGCTGGCCTCGTCGCTCCCGACCAACATGCAGGCGGATGGTCTTGATCAATTTAACCCTTTTTTACCCATAAGCCTCCTTCAGTGAGTGTTAGGGTTGGGGATTCAAAGAGTGATGATGTAGTCATTGTATGCAAAAAATTATATTTTGGAAAAGAAGCTGCAGAGCAACTCACATTGCGTTGCATACTGTGATAGTGTCAATACAGCAATTACCATTTCTTTTGGCATACACTAAGGATGCATATTTTGTTGTTGCTCATTTCAGACACATGGTGCTAACTCGCTTCCCCACGCTGACCGGACTGGTTAGCACCCCGCCTGTGGTGCATCCCTGCTTCAGCCTGGCCAGTTCGGCCTCGTGCGATGCCTTCACAGAGCAGCAGACCAGCTTTATGGAACCCGGTCCGTGCAACACGCAGGCGCGAAGCAGCCTGGGTAAGAACAAGCCACTGGTCTTTTCTACCATTTGTTCTGTTTGAGCGACACTTTTACAAGTCAGATCTGTCATTCATGTACACTTATTTCTAATGTTTGTTCCTGTCAGAGATTTCTCTAAATTCCTCTAACAGTTCCTCAGAAATAGCTTTTATTTATTTATTTATTTATTTTTTTTTGTCACCCACGTTTCTGACTTCACACAAATCCCATGAATGCAAGTCGACACAGTTTTTGCTTTTGTATGACACCATTTTCGTTATCACTTTTGTCCGTATTATGTATTATTTCATAAACGCTTCCCTATATTGAACTTTGGTGGTGTTTTTCAGTTTTTTTTGTGTAGGAGTATTTGCACTTTTGCTTTTCTCCCTCACCACCAGAGCGGACACAAATGTTTGTCACCAGCCGCTTGCTCGAAATGGGATTCACTATGAGACATATCTACTGCGCCATGGAGGCAGCAGGTACTGCCACTGCTTTGTGTAAGGTGTCGCTACGATGTCTGTTTCACATGCTTTCTCACGTCAACACACACACACACATGCTTATCATTGAAAGATAGCCATCTATTTCTAAAACGGAACTTTTGTTTTCTGATTTTAAAACCAGAAAGTCACAAAATGCGGCGATGCATATTGTCCATACATTCCCAAACTCCATATATATATATATTTTTTTTTTGAACTCCACTCTGCTCCCATAGATGTAACGGGTGAGCTGGACTCTCGGACCATTGAGGTGCTAGCCAGCTGGATGCTGGAGCACCCCCAAACGGATGAGCAGCAGACCACCGAGTTACTCAGACATGAGGGTGAGCCTGACACTCCATCCTCTGACGGGCCTGAAACAGTGCAGTGCCCCGAACGCCCGGCGAGTCAACCCACTGAGAGGTCTGTAATTCACGAAACATGATTTCATTATCAATCAAACCGTAGTGCCAACTGACTTAAATTTTGACAGCTTGCTTCCCGGTTTGGACTGGATAGAGCGAGAGAACTTTTTAGATGTCCACCTGACAAGGAACAGACCTCCTCCAGCAAGGCGGCGGCGTTCAGGCCCAACTCAGAGGACGTCTTTTCAGAGGGCAGGTCAGAGTTAGACCTTTCTGGTGAACTGCCTCAGCAGGCTGTTATAAAAATTAAAATAGATCAGGAACATTTAAGGCCCTACATTGAAATCGAAACAGAATGCAAGAAGGGGAGAAATGCTCATTGCGAAACCATTTTGAACTACTTAAGTGAGGCAACAGAAGGTGAATTCAGGCGCTCATCCTTGGATGCCAAAAGCTTGTTGTTGATTCCAAATATTTTTTTTACCCTCTGTTTGAATTGAAAGGAATTCCAGTCTCTTCAGATTTGCCGTCACCGAACCCCATCCCACAGCTGTACCAACAGAATGCAAGCGATTGGCCCGAATACGTGGAGTTTCACCCCTTTTCCACGGAGGAGTCCGAGCTGGGCTACATGGATGACGTGTATCACGAGGAGACCTACGAAGAAGACCTGCTCACCCCTTTCTTCAGCCTGGAGAGAGATACTCTGCACATAGTGGAGGTGACACATTAATGCACCCTGTTCTCTCTAAGCTGTCAAATCAAACAACTCCTATTTTTTCTGTTAGAGCGGCGAAGAACACAATCCGATGGTGAAGTGCGAGCTGTGCAACACTCTCACCTTGCAGTTCAACAACCACATCAAGCGCCGTCATCCCGGCTGCGGCCAGAGCGCCGCACGCAAGGGCTATGACAGCACCGGCGCCTACGTGGACGTCTGGTTCAAAGGGGAGTGCGGCTCCAACTTCCCCTTCTACCTCCTTTGCACTTCCTGCAGGGAAAAGTACCTCGCCGCCAGCGCCAGCGATCCGAGTTGCAGGAGTGAAAGGTACAACAAACCCGCAGGAAATTGCATGCCATCATCTCCCTCAAAAAGTAGAGACTGCAGAAAGTACCAGGCTCCTATTCGTGATGAATTGTTTATTTGAGAGGATCCTTTTTTTTGTTCAGTGTCAGTAAAGATATGCAAAGCATTTACCGGTGTATATACATAAATATTTTAATTTATATTTAAACAAGAATACCAGATGATGAAGAAGAAAGTCCAGGATTTTGGAGGATTTGGCGTTTTGTCTTGATTTGAGTTGTCAGACACTATTTAGTAGTATGCTAACTTCCTCTGACTTTCCGCTAGAAATTTGATTTTTCCTTCATGCGACGCCGCCCCTCATTTGAATTACTCATTATTGTCGCCTCATTTATTTAATTTAGGAAAAAAGGCCTGACGAGTGATCTGATTGGCCGCTTGGACAGCACCTCTGATGGTGAGTAGGGGTACTTTTTTTCTCCCATCGAATCCATCATTTCGTTTTACGTGAACAGCGCTCCTCTTTGCTCAGACGACTGGGAAATTAACCATCATGATGAGAGTGATGAAGACAGACTGACAGGACTGGAGGACTTTGGGCTTCTGCTGAGACCGCTCGGCCTGACTGAAAAGAAGCTGGTGCCGGACCCCATTGCTTTCACTGAGCCCGATCCACTGGGGGCTACGGTTTATAGCTCAGCGGACCCCCTGAGGGATGATCCCAAAGGTAGTCTAATTACCACTGTAATAGTCCTTTTTACTAACTACTAAACTGTCACTTTTTTCATGAGTAACGGAGGATAGATTTTTAAAAAAATTTAGAATGACAAACTCTGCATAATGCTTGTGGAGGCTCTCAGTCGTACAGGAAAGTTCCATCGTAGAAAGGGTTCTGTCAGTCGTCATCTGTACCTGAACAAGAATACCAGATGATGAAGAAGAAAGTCCAGGATTTTGGAGGATTTGGCGTTTTGTCTTGATTTGAGTTGTCAGACACTATTTAGTAGTATGCTAACTTCCTCTGACTTTCCGCTAGAAATTTGATTTTTCCTTCATGCGACGCCGGGCCTCATTTGAATTACTCATTATTGTCGCTTCATTTATTTAATTTAGGAAAAAAGGCCTGACGAGTGATCTGATTGGCCGCTTGGACAGCACCTCTGATGGTGAGTAGGGGTACTTTTTTTCTCCCATCGAATCCATCATTTCGTTTTACGTGAACAGCGCTCCTCTTTGCTCAGACGACTGGGAAATTAACCATCATGATGAGAGTGACGAAGACAGACTGACAGGACTGGAGGACTTTGGGCTTCTGCTGAGACCGCTCGGCCTGACTGAAAAGAAGCTGGTGCCGGACCCCATTGCTTTCACTGAGCCCGATCCACTGGGGGCTACGGTTTATAGCTCAGCGGACCCCCTGAGGGATGATCCCAAAGGTAGTCGAGTTACCACTGTAATAGTTCTTTTTACTAACTACTAAACTGTAACTTTTTTCATGAGTAGTGGAGGATAGATTTTTAAAAAATTGAGAATGACAAACTCTGCATAAGTCGGGGTTCACTGTACAGTACTTTTCTAAAAAGAACTCCCTGACCAATATTTTTTTTCTCGCCCCTAGGAGACGCTTTGGTGGGAAAGAAAAGCTCCTTGAGTCTCGGGCAGCAGGCCATATCACTAAGGGACTCTTACGACCGACTGAAAGCGCTTAGGAGAGTGACTTCCACAGCGCAGATCTTGCTTGCGTACAGCATGGTGATGCGAGCCCTTTCTCAGACCGCTTGCAGGTAAGTCCAGCAATGTTCTTCTGGTTAAATGTGTAGCTATTCCTCGTTTTTCCCTCTTTACTAGTCCGTCCAGTGGACTGGACTCCTTGGGTCTGGCAGACATCCGCACCCTTGTGCGTCTGATGACGCTTGCCGCGGCGGGCAGGGCGAACACGTGCGCGGACAGGCAGTCTGGCGGCATGGGGCCAACCTCCGAACGCGGCAACTCCGGCTGCCTTAGCTTCCTGACGGCAGCTATAGGCACTGTCGTGTCCCACAGCCCCGCCGCTTATAGACAGCTGGTGGAAATATGCACTCAGGTTGGTGTGCCACACTGGGTTCTTATAGTCAGAGAGAGGTGGTTGTGTGACATTATCCGTACTGACAATTATTTTTGATTTAATATTGTTCTTCCCATTACAACATATTAAATAATGTACAGTATATTTATTTGACATGTTGCCAGTCCATAGTCTATTGTTTATATTGTGAACCGTTCATTGATTATTAATTGTTTATGTTTCCAAATACCCTCCATTGCTTCTTGTAGGATCTGATGGCAGCGGCTACAGGAGTGCATATTTCCAGTAGTGATGTGCAGCAGCGACCGTGCCTCACAGTCAGTTTGTTGTCGACTGTGACCCAGCAGCAGAAGCAGCAGCAGCAGCAGCAGGTGAGGGACTGCAGCGAGCACCCGGCATCCTTTCTGGTCACGCAGAGCCTTGTGGCTTTGCTCACACAGAAGGGCGCTCACTGCTCCGGCGCCGACAAGGCTGAACACGAGACTCATGGTAAGTCATTTCAACAGATGAATGGTAGTGTGGCTTGCGAGCGCTCGACTCTCTAGGTTTTCGATTCACGAGCTGCCGTGAGGGCATTTTTTTTCATTTGTGTGTTTTATAGCAGTAGTTATAAACCACACAAACAGAGAGAACATATTTTGTATTCTTCGAAAAATGTTTATGTATTTTATAGATCCCAAGCATGACCACCCCCCGCCACCCCCTGAATTTGGACGGCTCACACAAGGGGATTTGCCAAATTTTAAACTGGTATCTTCGACGAATGGGTGCCGCTAAATCACACCGTCCTCTAAATCTGGGCCCGGCATAGCATCAGATCGTCGAGACACACCTTATTGAGGACAAGCATTTTAGAAAATGGTTGTATGGATGAATTAGGACAAACACAATGGAATTAAATACTTGAATCTTTCCAACCAAGATGCAGGACACCAAGGGCTGTCTGCCACCTGCCCCTCCGCCCACCGCGGCACAAGAGTGGGTCCTCTCGAGCTGGCCAACGCTCTGGCAGCGTGCGTCCTGTCTGCCATGCTGAGCAGCCAACACCGCCAGTGGGCGACGCTGCGACTGGTGCAGGCTTTGGCTGCAACCGGGCGAGACGGACCCGCAAGAGCCCAGACCTACAGCGATCTCGTTGGCGATCTACGCAAATGTCCCGTTAGGAGGCTGGAAGGACACTATAATAAGGTGTGTGTGTGTGTGTGTGTGTGTGTGTGTGTGTGTGTGTGTGTGTGTGTGTGTATCTGGGAGCGTGGAAGTGAGTGCATAATGGCTGTTACTTTTTTGTGTTGTTTAGGTGGCCACTTGTTTGTGGAACAATGAGCAGAGTCTGCTGGCTACTTGCTCCCAGGATAAAGTGGTGCAGCTGTGGAGCATCAGTGAGAACAATGCCCAGTTGCATACCACCTTCTCCTGCATCACCAGGTCATAGAAGTTGCACTTTAAATGAACTGCATTTTTAAACACTTTATATTGCTAACGACTCTCGCTACTTTCCACGTTTGTGTTTTTGTCCGAAATTTATATTTTACAGTGGTGTATTTTTTTTCCATCACTGGTAGTGTTTGGTGGTGGTATCACACACACACAAAAAAGTCTTTATTCTCCTTGACCTTCTTTTCTGCAGTAAAACAGACAGAACGAGTTCAGAGCGGGCAGGCAGATGTCATCACGTGTCATCGCCCGTGTACTGGAGCACAGGCGGAGACTTCCTGGCAGCCCCAGAGAACAAACACATCACCATCATGAACATCAGAGGTAAACATATCAATGCCAGAGCCTCGTTTGTCTCCTCAACAGTAACAAATTATAAACAAAGATTGATTAAGATGCAGGATCATAGACAACCAAAATGCATTCTCAACAAAACAATCCGTTTGGGATAATTCGGTCAGCTGTTGCCTTGTATGTCCTTCTGACTGTCTGCAGGCTCTCACTGTCACACGGAGGCTCAGGCATCTCGGGTCACGGCGCTGTGTTGGGCCGCAGCATTTAGCTTATGGCTTCTCGATCAGCCCGAAGCTTACAAAGTCCGACCCACCGAGAGCTTGCTGGTGGGTCGGCTGGACGGCTCTGTCTGCTGGCTGCGTGTCACCATGCAGGAGCTCGACTTGCTTGTGAAGACCACAGAGCTCACCCACTGCTACAGGATGGAGGGTGAGGTGACACGAACATGAAATTTTTATGTACAGTGTTCCCCCCTTCTCATATTTATTCCACCAAAATTCTGTGTATATCTTGACATGTCAATTTCCTACAATATATTTAATGGGGCATTCCTGTCCTCTGGTCTTTTCTAGCTCCGCAGTGTGTGGCCTGGCACAGTGAAGAAAAGCCTTTTGCAGTAGGATACCAAAGTGGAAAAGTTCTTTTGGCGACTACTGAGACCTACGAGAATGAGCCATTGGTGTTGTTGTCCATCTACCAGGTGTGGTTACAGTAATATAATTTACCTGCATAGGTGGGAAACGTAGAAACTGGATTCATAATAACTGAACTGCCCCAACCCTACTTCAAAGTTTTTTTTTTTTTTTTTTTTTTTTTTTAATGTCATTGTCTTATCTCATCTCAAGTTAAATTGTACTGTACATGTAGGACGGTGTGACTTCCCTCAAGTGGGATCCGACGGGGCATCTGCTGCTCTGTCTAGGAAGATCCGAGGTGCTGAAGATCCTGGGACGCTCGGGGGGCGCCTGGGTGGCCTTCCACTCCCTTGCGCATTCCAGCATGGTCAACGTGGCTGAGTGGTGCCCCCTCGCCGGCCGAGCCCCGGACCCCATGCTCATGATCGCGGCGTGAGTTTCATGTCCTTGAGTCTTAAAATGTGTTGACCAAAGCGTAAATAATCGCTCCAGTTAGTTAAATTGTGGAGTCTTACCACATGTAAAATATTTAAGATGATCTCAGTTTTGTTACTGGAACGCTTCTCCTTCCAGAGGTTGTCAGAATGGCTCTGTGCATGTGTGGACGTTGCCACAAGGGGGTGCTGCTGTGCCTCTGCCAGCCACGCTGAACAGATCTTCGATTGAGCATAGAAGTGCCAACGTCATGGTATATTTAGCCTCTTTTTTTTTTTGTCAGTATCTAAATAATATTTAATATCGGGACTTTAACAGCAAGGTTGTTGTGTTTCAGGAGAGTGCAAAGTGTGTGTTTGTCCTCCTCGGTCACATCACAGCGGTGAAGTCGCTCTCGTTTTGCTCCAGTGGTCTGGCTCTGGTTTCTGGAGGGATAGGGGGGCTACTCAACATCTGGTCCTTACAGGTCGGAGAGTTTGAGTCGCTGCTGCAGTTAAACATGGCATATATAATAAACCCAAGTTTTTTTGCGTGTTGCTTGCTTTCTTCAACTTGGTTTTTTTTCACTCCAAGTGGAATTTACTGACACACAAAACAAAATAGAATTAAACATTGCATATTTGCACACCAAAATCCCAAACATATTACAGCAATTATTTCCCCAGAAACAACTGCTACTTTAACTCACATATGAGCAGCAATTTATACAGCATTACTCACACATCTATTCTCGACTCTGTGGGAACTTTGAATATTATTGCGGCTGAGTGGGGGACCTTCTCTGCTTCTTCTTCCTCTGAATTGTGACTTATATACAGACTTGGTTCTGCACACAAAAATATAGAATTGTCTGTATACACGTTAAAAAAGGATCAATTGAAAAATCTGTGATATTCCAAGGACACAAAAAATAAACCACAAGAAGCCATAGTTGGGTTTCACTGTGGTTCTCATAACATTGCTATGTATGTGTTTGCAGGATGGTTCAGTGTTACAGACCGTTACAGGCTTGGGATCAGTCGTCAGTACAACGTGGATCCCCAAAATGGGCGTTGTCGCCTGTTTCGGGAGGTCAAAGGTAATTTGGCTAATTTGTGACTCATAAAATTTAATGTAAGCATCACAGTGAGCTAGTGGTTAGCATGTTTGTCTCAACAGTTGTGAGTTTAACTGTTACAAGTTCCATTGGAGATAATTATTGCTTAACTTGTCAGTTGCATTTGTTCCCCACCCAGGATGTCTTGTTGATCTGCTGCACCCCTGACTGGATCACTCAGAATCACGTGCTGGCTTCCTGCCGCATGGTCCTTCGAAGCCAGGGCATCCTGGGTCTTCATCGGGCACCTTGTTTCGCAGTACTGCTGGAGAGGCTGCCACTTTTGCTGCAAGAGCAGTATGCCTACGAGCGGGCCCACGTGGTCGCCGGTGACCAGTTAGTCCACAGTGCCTTCTTGCAGAGCCTGGCCTGCCTCGCTGTCGGTTTATCCTTAGAGGAGCACCTGTGCCATTACCCGTGCCCACCTCATCACGCCAACCCCAATGACCAATCTTGCCCGGCCGAATGGAGCTGGCTGGCCACCTACGCCACGACCGTGCGCAGCGCCGAGGCTATCGCCAGCGGCATTGTCTTCCCAGAGTCCTTTGCGGTTCGAGAGTTTGAAGAGGGGGATGAGGACGAAATCTCAAAGGCCCTGGTAGGCCACAATTCATCTTATGACACGCAGATGACAATCTCAATGAGTGGGCCATTTCAAAAGGCTATTGATGTCATTCTTGTGTCTCTTAGGACAACAGTAAATGGAGTTTCAGGATGGATGAACAGCTGATGTCCTGGGCAACCACCCTACCAGAGGTAATTGCATAACTTTATACCTTTGCGGTCGAATAGAATTGGTTCATCTGAGGTACAGGTCCATCTGGGTTCAGGTTTTTACTCCTCTCCCTCCATGGGAAATGGTGTCAGATGTGGAATGGATAGTTGATAGAGCCGAGTTCACATCCAAGCGGAGGGTACTACTCCTCTGCTTCTGTGATGAATCTACTTTGAACTTTGCTGGAAATCTCATGCACCACTTTTCACAGGACTGGCAACGAGGGGGCAAGAGCGAGGTGTACCTGTGGGGGAGCGGACGCTATGGACAGCTGGCGGGTATGGGGACCAACCCCATGACGCCTACATTAGCGCCCTCACTGCTTCAGACACAACAGGTTGCGTACCATTTGCAAGACACCCGCCCTTTTTTGATGACTGCAGTTTCTAATATTCATATTTTGGCTGCCTTTTAGGTGGTGTGCGGTCAGAATTGTACTTTCCTGGTTCAGTCCAATGGAACCGTGCTGGCCGTTGGGGAAGGACAGTACGGAAGGCTGGGACAAGGAAATTCCGATGATCTATATGTCCCGACTATTATCTGCGCTTTTCAAGGTAAAAAAAAAAACTTGACTGAATAATATCCAGAATTTCAAAATGTTAGCAGGATCCGAACATGCCGACCAAGCCCCATTTCAAAAGAAAATGAAAGTAAATTGAAGTCAATGAGCGATGTTGAAGTGATACATCGAGACTAAGATGTTATTTGTTGGGGAGGAGTTAAGTCTTCGCCTGGGTTCTTAGAGGAACTCACTGACCATTTTTACATGCAGTCATGTCACTCACCACCGGAATAAAGCAGTCAGTTTCCTCCTCGCTCCAAAAGTTTGGTCCCGTGCTGGATCTGAGTTTTGCATTTCTGTGTGTGTGTGCAGGTTATGTGGTGACCCAGCTTGTGACATCCTGCGGCTCCGACGGACACTCCATGGCGCTGACCGAGACGGGAGAGGTGTTCAGTTGGGGGGATGGAGATTTCGGGAAACTAGGACACGGCAACACCGAGAGGCAGAGGAGACCCAAACAAATTGAGGCATTGCAGGGGGAAGACATCGTTCAGGTGAAAAGCATTTCATTCCCAAAGTAAATCTAAAGTCGCCGCTTTCTTAAATAATCGTTGCTTCCTCGTTCCAGCTCGCGTGCGGTTTCCGGCATTCGGCTGTGGTGACATCTGACGGGAAACTGTTTACCTTTGGAAGCGGTGAATCTGGACGTCTGGGTCAACGGTCAACATCCAACAAGATGCTGCCGGAGAGAGTGGCTGCACTGGAGGGTTACCACATAGGACAGGTAAAAAGATTTTTTTTTTTTTTTTTTGCTTGGCTCTAAACATTGCAAAATAATGAAATGGCATGAATGGTCATATTTTCTCAGGTGTCATGTGGACTCAACCACACTCTGGTCTTGTCTGCGGACGGAATGATTGTATGGGCATTTGGAGATGGAGATTACGGAAAATTGGGGACTGGTTCCTCAACGGCAAAATATTACCCTCAGGTATGTTGACAAGGTTAGCAAATCCTCCTCAAATGTATTTTAGCATGTCGAGGCTAGCTGACTCGATAAAAATTGTCCTGGGCCCTATTTTGGGCCTTGATACAAAAGTTGAGGAAAATCAAATAGACAACGATTACATGTGTTTGATGTCCATCTGTTCAGAAAGTGGAGCAGCTGTGTAATAAAGGAGTGAAGAAGGTCAGCTGTGGAACTCAATTCTCTGTTGCCTTGGCTTGCGATGGACATGTGTACACATTTGGACAAGGTACATCGACATTTAATAATAAAATAAATACAATAACATGCGTACAATGTTAGACGTCGTGGTTTTATTCATACTACTGCAGACAAATTCCTTGTGTGTGTGTGTGTGTGTGTGTTCGTTTGACATACATGGCCAACAAAGATGATTCTGATTGTGATGTCCCAACAGAGCGTCTGATTGGCCTGCCGGACTCCATGCTCAAGAACAAGTCATGTCCTCAGGTGGTTCCGGCCCTCGACGGACACTTCATAGAGGACGTGGCCCTGGGCTGTGAGCACGTCCTCGCCCTGTCCTCTACCGGGGACGTCTATGCCTGGGGCTGCAATAGTGACGGACAGGTAAGTTACAATATATTGAAAGTTGGGGAGTCCCATTTTGGAAAGTGCACTGAGGGCCATATTGAATTTATTTAAAAAAAATTATAATAATAATAAATTATTGGCCACTTGTATTTTAACCCTTTCATGCACCCTGTAACCTGATAAGCTGTCCACTGTAGTAACCGCTGTCCCCGAAAGTGTTAAACACATTTTCAAAAGTCCATGTTCAAGACATAAAGTTTGGTGTCCTCCTTCATGTGTTTTCCAGCTTGGTCTGGGACATTCCAACCTGGTGAAGGAGCCCACGCTGGTGACATCCCTGCAGGGGAAGAACATCCGACAGATCTCCGCGGGCCGCTGCCACAGCTCGGCCTGGACGACGCCCTCTGCGTCCATTAAAACCTCAGGTGCGCGCACACTCCCGCGGCTCGCTGATAGTTCAGCTTTGATACGATCCTAAAAAAAAAAAAATCCTCCGTAGGTGGTTCTGGAAGTTTCCAGCTAGGTCTTCCGCAGTGTGTCCCTCCCCAGTACAACACATTGAAAGGCTGCAGCCCTCATCTGCTCAGCATGCGCCTCCGAGTGCTCCACCACTTCTCTGATCTTGTGTACAAGTCGTGGCGGCTGCTGAACCTGGATGCCAAGAATATGGTAATGATGTTTGGTATTAGATGTGTATGAATAAGGAAATAAAAATCCTGGTGATTTGTTTGCCAACAGTTCAGATCATCGGGATCAAATCGCTATATTGGGGGCGGCATCTATAATTCATAGTGTGCTTGGGGTGGAAATTGCAGATTCTTTTTCGCTATGATAATATCACCTTACACCATTTATGCTTATGCAGGGTATGATAGATTGTTTGGGGTGAGGGCAATAAACGATACTGTCAAGGTAGAGTATGAGTAATTGCCTCCTTGTTATTTTTTTCCCATCCCTTCTCTAAATGATACTCAACCAATATTTTGATCTTGGCCCTACCAATGCAGTATAGTACACTGACACAGATATTTTGAGAACTATTATTTGTGTAAGAGTGCACTGCCTCATGCCCTAATTGATTTAGCGATGTGCTATATCATGGTAATCCTTTTTTGTCCTTCCCTGAAATGACACTCTTTCACGAGAGATAACGATTCGGGATGTCATGATACTGAGATTTTGTCCCGCTCCTGTGAGATATGGAAAATAACATCGCTGTATGTGTCCCGTCTCCTACATGATAATGTGCCGCGATATGATCGTATCACACAAGATTGACATTTAGGCCCAACCCTGCTCTGCTGTATCCAGTTTCTTTGCTCTTTTCTTGGTCTCCATTCAGGTTTCTACTTCGAGGTATAGTTTGGGGACGACAGCGATTGTCCGTGGTGTCCCGAGCGTGGAAGGTCAAGCTCATCGGCGAGGGAGCGGACGACGCTGGCGGAGTGTTTGACGACACCATTACAGAGATGTGCCAGGTAAAGACAAAAAGGGAAAAAACACACACACACACACAAAACGACACTCACGTCCAAAAGATTTCATTTGCAGAAACCGAGACCACATCTTCAATCGGTCACACTTGTTTTTTTTAAATAGGAGCTGCAGTCCGCCGTGGTGGACCTTCTCATCCGTACGCCCAACAGCTTTACAGATGTGGGAAGTCACACTGACAGGTTGGTGCACTTTCCTCCAACCGTAATCCCAGCGTCCTTAATCCCTTGACGTCCAGTCTGAAGATTTGGTCTTGTGTTCCCTTGACGTCCAGTCTGAAGATTTGGTCTTGTGTCCGGACAGGTTCCTGCTGAACCCGGCTGCTCTCTCCAAAGATCACATGGTCCAGTTTCGCTTCTTGGGTATCCTGATGGCGGTGGCCATCCGCACGAAGAAACCTCTAGACCTGCATCTTGCGCCGTGGGTGTGGAAGCAGCTCTGCTCCATGCCACTGGGAGAGCCCGACCTAGAGGAGGTGGACCTCCTCACCTTCCGCACCTTACAAGGCATTCTGCACTTGGAAAACAGCGGCATCACAGAGGAGAATTTCCATGTGGTGAGATGTCTCAATCTGTGGATCAGTTGTTCCTTCCGTTTTCAACTGCCAATCCAAAAAAGAAAAGTGTGACTTACCTAACGCACACACACAGACAAAAAAAACAGTTTTAGTCTCGGACTAAAAATAAACGAAATGCTGAGCAGAAGGAACATTTAAAAAAAAATCAAAGTTGTCATCTCAACCTCAAATAACTTTCTCACTTGGTTTAATGAATGTTACGGTGTATCTTTGTGAAGATGATTCCACTGGATTCGTTCGTGGCCCACAGTGCAGACGGAAGGCTGGTGCCGGTGGGTCCCGGAGGCCAAAACATTTCCCTTAACTTTTCCAACCGCACGGAGTATGTGGAGAGAGCGTTGCAGTACAGACTTCATGAAATGGACTCTCAGGTTTGAAGCAAAGACGGTAGTAGCGATGCGGCTTTGGTTACTTCCCCAATCGGCGTTCACCAGCGGATATCATTTGTGCAGGTGGCATCGGTCAGAGAGGGCACGGCCCCCCCAGCACCTGGAGCAGCTTGTGTGTGGCTTGCCCGAGGTGTCGGTGGAGACGCTGAAGAAGCTGGTGCGCTACCGTGACATCGCGGAGAGCCACCAGCTAGTGGCCTGGTTCTGGCAGAGCTTGGAGGAGTTTACCAACGAGGAGCGCGTGCTCTTCCTTCGCTTCGTCTCCGGCAGGTCCCGGCTGCCGTCCAACCCGGCCGACATGACGCAGAAGTTCCAGATCATCAAGGTGGACCGGGTGAGTTTGGGCTGAAAGATGCCTGATGCCCCAAAAACGGATAAAAAAATACTTTGTACTTTTCAGACTTTTGACCAGTCAAAAAAAAAACCCAAAACCCCTACACTTACGCTGTGACTTTGTGATTGGATGGTTGAGGGCACCGAGGCAGAACTTCGGATTTTGCATAAAATGCAAAATATCAACCAATCTCAATCCATTCGATCAGATTGGTGTAAAGTGTATTATATATTTTATTGTATTGTTTTTTTTTTTTTTTATGTAACTCTTGTTAATCAATTAATTTTTATTAATTTGCTTTTATGATTACTTTCTAAATATTCTCCTGAATTTCCTCTCTGTGAGTCAACCAGTTTCCTCTCTTCCCCCAGCCCGTAAATGGCCTGCCGACGGCTCAGACGTGCTTCTTCCTGCTGCGTCTTCCGCCATACACAAGCCAGGTGGTGCTGGCCGAGCGTCTGCGCTACTCCATACACAACTGCCCCTCCATCGACATGGACAACTACATGCTGACGCACAACACGGAGCCCTTAGAGACCTCCGACACAGAGGAGTGATGCCGTCATTATATGCACTGACTTTTAATTTATTTCCCCCCTTGGATGAGTGTTGTTTTGCATTTGTGTGAGATATCGTGTATTTATTGCAGTGCTTGAGCCGAGAAGCCACTGGGATAATATAGACTACTATTTCTTATCATATAAGCCACTGAATCAATGTGCCTGTTTGAAGATGTAATTGAAGGTTCTGTCCAATGTAGGCAGTGTGACTCTAAAATAAAGAGTGCTTACTTGTAGCCTGTTATTTTTTTTTTCTTTTTTAACTGACACTTTGCTTTTCTTACAGATTTTGAACAAATTTAAATCCAGTACCTTTAAATATGCATCACTTGTAAGGCTTTTGCTTTTGTGTCAAGGCTGCCATGATTAGTCTGTGCTGCTTAGAGGACCCTATTAATATCATTGTACCACCTGCTTTGACACAGGCAGCGTAGAAATAAACCTGCAGTCAGCGGTCTCGCAGCTGAGAGAGAGAGAGAAAGAGTGCGAGGTAAGAGATTAATATAACGTCCATATATCATCTTAACAAGGATTCACGAATCACAGGGAAAGGGCAGTGCTGGGGAAATGTCAACATGGCCTAATTGCCATTATTATGTCTAGAATGTGTGTGTGTGTGTGTGTGTGTGTGTGTGTGTGTGTGTGTGTGTGTGTATATAAATTCCTACCCGATCCTACACGTTTCCTATACTGTACTGTAATATGTTGTGTGGAGCCTTTGAAATGTGTAATACCAGTGATGACCACACGATGGCAGGCAATCCTCACAGCGCCTCCAACCCACAGTCTGTCATCGCGAAGAAGCGTTTGTCATGGCTGTCACAACATCGATCCCAAACTACAAAAACAACAGTTTTTATTTTCCCTACCCACTACGTCGAGTTCTTTCAAAGTGCATGAGCATTTGATAGACTTGTGTTCTCCAAAAACATGAATATATTCAACTCATAATTGTGTTTGAAACGCGTATGGTGGCTTAATTGGACAAGCGGCCGACTGTGATGGAATCGCCCGCCTTTGATGGGATGCTTCCAGGGCACAGGTGAGTCGACCAACCTGTTAATTTCGGGATTTTTGAATGAAATGGAAGAAAAGCTAATGATGGTACAGTATTAAAATTTGACTACGTTCGTTTTTGTGAAACCATGCAGAAAATGACTGAACTTTGGTTTGCTGTTGAGCAGATTTGTGAACTTTGAATGTTAATTTTGATGCAAGAGAGCCCTTTGCTGTGTGGAGGGTTAGGGAAATCACGGTATGTGGTTATTTTGTGTCGTTGAGTGTTGCCTCTTTTCTGTGTGTATTTGAAAATTCAATTACATGATGACACTTCTGTACTTTGGCTCGGGGAAAAAAAGAGACTGCTTAGATCAATAATTCAGCAGCGTTTGAAGGGGGAAAAGTTCTCTCGCGACTGTCGAACATCTTTGGAAGCATTCATTAGAGCACTAAGATCATGTTCACCTGTTTAACTTGTTAAGTCTGAAGCCCCTTCGTTTTTTATTACCATGTCGGGAACACCATCAGGCTTTCATAGACGTCAATAATTCATAATTCATTTGCTTAATGAACAATTAAGGAAATTAACAATGAATTATTGATTTATTCTCTTTTTTCCCCCCCTCATTAGCTGTTTCTTAGCGGTTAAACATGAGGACAAGATGACATATTGGGACCCAAATTTAAATATCTTCACGTTCTAATGTTCAGGTTAATGATAATCTAAGTAACTAGAGGTGACTGATTTTGATAATCTTTTCAAGTCGCTTTCGTGCAACTATCCCACAAACTTTCCCACCTCCCTTGACTGTACAAGGGTAACAAACAGCTGGATTAAGTGTTTCTCGATTGGTCATGCCCGCAGAGTTTGGCGCGCAACTGTACCCACAGAGACCTGGTCTTACCAAAGTCTCGTTTAAATAGTCACTAAAGCCACTCACTATATTGGTTTTAGATCATGCAAAAAATAAATAAATAAATAAAAATCCCACCAGCAGCAAAACGCTATTGATGGCTTGCCATTGTTTTCTTGACCTTTCTATCCATCCAGCTCAAATGACAGCTGCTAAGTCATTTTAAGACTAAACATGGGCCATGATGGCGATTATTGAGCAGGGAATTCTCTCTCTCTCTCTCTCTCTCTCTCTCTCTCTCTCTCTCTCTCTCTCTCTCTCTCTCATAAGATGCCATGCATTATTGCTACCACAGGCTAATTTCCCATGAGTGCCATCAGACAAAATAATCACTGGAGAAGAATTATGTTCCCGCCATCATTTTGGCTCCATGAAGTGGATTGTTGTGGAATTAACTTCAATGTATTAGCGTTATCTTGACATACAAGCGCTAACTGAGGACACAAACGTCATTAGGATTCTGATAGATGGGTTTGGTCAAATACATCCAAACCTTCCCAAAGGAGTGTGTGATTCAAATTAGCCGCTCATCAATTTTCTATTGCGCTTGTTATTAGAAGGGTTGCAGAACCGATCCCATCTGACTTTGACCCAGAACAGTGAGAGGCAGGTTACACCCCGGACTGGTCATCAGCTGATGACAGCTAGCTACTGTTGATGCGAGCTCCTGTTATTGATGAACCTCATGTAAAGGTGCTTTGTTCATGTTGAATAATAACTGGTGACATTGAACGTCATCTATTTACCTGATGGTGTAAAAGTGCAAAGTGTGGCAATATCCAGCTGCCATGACATTTTCTACGAATGGCAAAGGTGGATAAATGCCGGGTCTACCGTTCGGACTGCGGTGCGCCAATTTTGCGGGATCTCATTGTTTGAGGGGCTCGAGTCGTGTTCTTGCCTCCGGAGTTTGAAGGACAGTTTTGGCGGTGAATGGAAATGCAGTACTTATAAAACAGCAGATTATGTGAGCTCTGTTGGGATCCGTCATCTGGCTTCCAGACGGACGACGCATTGGCAGCAGTGGCCGAGGATTTACCTTCCTCGGCTGGCAGTGGCCATCCGCCGGGCCTGGAAGCCAATATTAAACAACACAGCTTTCGCTTGCATTGAGCTCTTATGCAACAACATCTGGACAAGGGACCTCGGACGACCAGACCCCCCCTCCTTTTTTCTTCTTTTTTTTTTTTTAATAACGCAGCAGTGATTACATCAACAGCAATCCCACCCACCCCTCCATGGGATCAAAACATGAAGGGCATTCCTGTGTACTTTGACTCCGAGCCAAGAACAGGAATTTCTTCCCCCTCCCTTGACGCTTTCTATTTGCTAATGATGTTGAAATTGACATTTTTTGCATTCCCGGTAATCATAAACATCTGGTGTGCACCATCTGCCGATGTTGTTGTTTAATGGGCTTCACTGTTATTAAGTGGGAGGGGGGGAAGAGTCCTATCAATGCATAATGCCGCATGCGTTAAGCTGAATGATTTGCAACATCTTTGACCTGCTGTCAAAGTGAGCCGTTTTATGAATGACTTATCTTATTCTGCTGAGGGCGAAACATCCATCCATTATTCGAGCCGCTTAGTTGAATTTCTGATGATGGCACGCTCCCATAAGTCATATGATTTAACAACAAAAAAACCCCCCTCAAACATACAAACAATAGTACAAATGTTGGCCTAAGTGCGTAGCTGATCCAATCCGTTTGGCTCATAATACCATCAAACAATTGAAGTGGTTACTAAAATCACCGACTCAACATGGAACCCGTCTCTGGTTCCTTGGTGAGTCGTTCCAAAAAGCAGCTACGGTGGCGTCGCATTAGCCTCAAGGGCGTGGCGGTCAAGTGGGCTCCACGTGCGCTGCAAATTTATTCAAGTGGGCACTGCTAATGCAATAACCGCCGACCGTATCCGTGTATGCAGATACGTCCGTCGAGGCCTTCTCAGATCCTTAACTCGACTCCAACCTCACTTTACCCTCTTGCTAAGTGTACTTGAATGACTTGAACCTAAGCCACAACCACTATCAAATCTCGCGGGGACAAGTTTTGTCATATTAGTGAACAGTGGAAAACTTCAGAATGACAAAAAAACAAAAAAAACTTGACATTTGTCCTCGCGTGATCTTCTGAAGTACGTCACGGAAGCGCAATTTGTTAACCTGACCTACATAAAAAGTCCTTGTATGCAGCTGCGTGCTGACGACAAAGCCGCCAAGATTATATTTTAAGCAGGGGGCCCCGTGATTTATCTACCGCTACATGGTTAACGGCAGCATTAATCACGCCACGAGCCGTGCCTCCCTCCCGTATTATCTACAAACAACTCTCGACGCCCATGCACCCGTGTTGAAGCGCTTGCGTTTTTACACAGGCCGTGTTTTTTTTTTAGGTTGTGTACAGTGAAGATGGGGTGCGCCATCGAGGCAAGGATGCTCAAGGGAGTTTGCCTTTAACTGTAAATAGGTTTTGTTTTCAGAGGAAGAGGCGGAGCCTAATATGTCAGGATGTTGTGGGGCATGCTGTTTTAATGCAACATTTTTTTTCCTATTTTTTTTTTAAAGATTGCATGCAGGTGAGAGAGAGGGTTTGGAATCTATGTGCACATGTTAAAGAGAATACAACTGCTTTAACTTTTGAAGGTGGTGTGCAGGGAAGAGAAATCGGATTCGGGATTTTCAAGGGGTGTGCACCTCAAAATCTTAAATCTCGCCTTTAAATACTCGATCACAATGTTGAAGGGGGTGCACCTTTCATTTCTGTTTTAAAGTTGTGGTGCGCCATCCATCCAGGGATGTTCAAGGGGCTGCGCCTTTACTGTAAATTGGCTTTGTTTTTAAATTTTGGGAGATTATGTGGCGTTTCCCAGCTCTATCAGGATGTTGACGGGGGTGCGCATTTAGTAGGATTTTTGCTTCATTTGGACTTTTTTTTAGATTGCCAGCAGGATCAGATGGGATGTGCCATCTTCTACCTGCCGCTAGTGAGTCATGTATATTTGCCTCTCTGCATCGCATCCTTTTGAAAATGACGCCGCCCATATTTGCCCCTCCCGCCACTCTTGTGGATGTGAAATA